TGAAGACAAAATTAGGGAGATTCAAAGGCGGTTAAAGAAGGTTAACTCAGTTTATCTCACTCATTTTAAAATCTAGCTACAATATGAGTATAACAAAGTTTTTTTTCATAAGGAACTTCTATGGTACCAAAAGTCTAGAGAGAATTGGATTAAACTTGGGGACCGTAATACCTCAATTTTTTTATAAGCATTTTATGCACTGTGTTACTACCTCATATATGAAGGTTTAATGGAATGTGAATAAGCTTTCTTTATTTTCTTCAAATTGCGACCTCAACCAAGGTGATCCATTCTCTTCATATCTCTTCCTTTTGTGTATGGACATGTTGACTCTTGCTATAGAAGATTTTATGAGGAATAATCACTAACAACTAATTTAGGTTAGCAAAAATGGCCCATCTATATCTCATATGCTTTTTGTTGATGATGTGCTTTTATTTATCAAATCTAGAAGCTTTCAAATCAAAATCATAAAGGAAATCTTAAATCAATTTAGTGTTATTTCTAATCTTAAGGTTAACTTAATAAAATATCAGGCTTATGTTTTGACTATTATCAATGGTAAAAAAAATATGCCAAATTTACATCTATCTTAATATTCATTTTATTTCTTTCCTTGATAAGTATCTAGGCTTTCCAATGATCTCACGTATAATGAAAAGAAGACACTTTGACTTTATTGTGGAGAAAATTTAACATAAGCTTGCTAATTGAAAGTCTAGTTTCCTTAATAAAGTGGAGCATTTAACTCTAACTAAGTCAGTTATTATAACAATTCCAACATATTACTTACAATTGTATTGACTGCCTCAATCTGTTTGTCACTCTTCCTTTGAAAGAATAATGATGGAAAGGGAATTAAGTTGATAAACTAAGATACAATCACTTGTAAAACCTGAGAGTGAGAGCTTGGTCTGAGAACTAGGAAAGCTAATGTGGCTTTATTGTGTAAAAGAGTTTGGGATATGGTGAACAAAAAAGGATAAACTCTTAAGTCTAACTACTTGTAGAAAAATATGTGAATGAAGATAATTTGTTACATCATTACAAAAATGAAGGGTCTCATTGTTGACAAGTAATCAAAAAGGCTAAAAATATTATGAGAGATTGATTCACTTTTTGACTTGGTAATGGACAAGTGTCCTTGTGGTATTATGATTGGTCATGACGGGGCAAATTATGTGATCACATTTCTTATATCAACATTCAAGATACAAAAGTGCATGTTAAGGACATTTGAACTTAGTAGGGCTAAAATTTTTCTAAAATTGTTACTTGGTACAATATCAATTACTTCAGTCATTCATCAATCTAACTTATTAATTCGTAGTCATGTTGAGGACAAGTTTATTTGGTCAAGTAATTTGGAGAAAAGTTATATAGCTAAACATGGTTTTAATGACTTATTGGTAGAGAACTTTGTACTAGTACATTAGTTGGAAGTGGTATCTACGCCTTCCTTATGCCAAAAATATTAAATTCCTAGTTTGACTTATTTGTTGTGTTGTCCTTTCCAAAAATTACTTAAGACGTCATAGGAACTTGATGCTTTCACTCATTTGCTTGAAATGTCACTTATATGAATGACACTCTCCACTGTATCAAAGACTGTTTGACAACTAAAGAAATATGGGTTTGTGCAAGTCTAAAAAATAAAAGATTTGTAACTTCCTTTGATGTCAACGACTGAATTATAATTTAACATAAAAATAATACTCCCTTATTTTTAGTTACAATATGGTAAATATGAAGGGTCAAGAATGTTAATTGCTTTGCTAGAAAAAATATCCTAATTTATAAAATTATGCTTGATGTTATGAACCTTGCTAATTAACTTCATTTATGTAAACAAGTGCAATAATCTCAAGCCCATTTAGAACGATGGGTTTGTTGGGAAACTAATCAAAATTTTGAATTCATTTTTTGTGTTGATGAGAGTGTTTGAGAAAGTCCAAGAAAAGCTAATTTTGGTGCTTTTACTAGATATAGAGATAAAAAAAATTAACTTAAAAGAATTTTTGGATTTATTAACATTTTTTATAATGAGTTCATTGACAATTTTTTTACGATATTCATACTAAACTCATTGGTAAGTCTTTTTAACTTAATATGTTCATCATAGATCAGTTCAAATAGACTGAGTAACCCATTTTATTATCTCTATACAAACAATTCTTAATTAATTACATCATTAATAAGAAATATAAAAATTAAAAAAAATTAGAGACTAAATAAATTTTAAAAAATTCAAAAAATATAAATATTTAAAATACATCTAAACTTTATTGAAATTATGATAATTTTAATAAATTATTTTAATTAATTTTAAAAGGCTTTATTTTAGAGTTTGTTTGAGGACTTCAAAACATATCAAAGCGGAACTATTATTTCATTATTCGAACATTAAAAAATTGATATTATATATCACACAAAATATAATTTTTATCTTTTATATTTTTTTATTTTTATAAATATAAATCTTTAAAATACACTCCAAAATTAAAATAATTAAAATTTATTTTTAGAAAATCATTTCTCTTATTACATTTCACGTGGGCCGTCAAGTTACATTGTGGTTTTTTCCTTGTCCGAAATGACAGCTGATTAGGTCTTTTATTGGCACTGCAGTGGTAGGAAAATCTCACAATATTACAGACTTGATCACAGTAGTAGATTCTTGGTGGAAGCACTGCTTTTTTTGTTTTGCATGGTAAACCCATTACATTTTCTGCATCCACATCTCTTAAATACACATATAAATAGCAGGAGCTTCAGAATTTTGCAGGAAGGTAGGCCCTCCACCCACAAAAGCTAGGATATATATATATATATATATATATATATATATTTCAAATTCTAAAACAGCCATGACAGAGTTTCCAGTTTCCATCATAATGACCAAGGGATCACTAATATCTGAGTTGCAATCGAAGTGACAAAAGCAGAGGGAAATGCAAATCAAGCCACACAATGAGGACTGTGACAACCCCTCAAAATCTATTTAATCCAAATAAATAGGTCTGGACCATTTGGAAAATAAGATTCCTAATGGATACCTGTAAATTCATTAGCTTGCTAGATCCAGCTTATAACAGTTTGAAAAAGGTTTTATGTACATTATTATATAATCATATCTATCTATAGCTACAATTGCTCAGATTTTAGTAAAACTACATAAACATATCAAAACCCCAGAAGGATCAAAGTTATGTCCAAATAATTAGTACTAGTATCAATTTTTTTGTTTTTTTGTTTTAAAAAGAAATATTTTAACCAACTTGAGAATATTTTAACAAATATAAGTTGCAATTTGTTAGAATATTCCTAAAAATTCAGTAGAATGAATGTGGAGAGGGGGAGAGAGAGAGAGGTTGGAGTTGGACAGCATGTTAGACAAAGAAAAGGGTAAGGATAAGGAGAGAAGGAGAGAGGGAGAGAGGGGCAGTTTGGATTGAGAATTAGTGTGAAAGGCACGAGACATGTGGAGAACAATAAATGAGAAGAGTGGAAAAAAGGGTGAAGGGTTGATGAGCCTCATCATAAACCTCATCATCGTTATGTCGTTTTTCATTCTCTACTCCCAAAAAATCTCCCAGAATTCCAAGCTTCCTCACTCCCTTACCTCTCTTTGCTTTTCTTTTAAAAATTCTTTATAATTTTATAAGGAAGATTTTTTTTTGTTTTCTCTATTTTTTAAGTTTATACTTACATAATATATTATATAATATTTTATTATGTTAATTTTTACTTAATATTAAAGCGCATATCTTAAAAATAATTGATTTTACTAATTATCATAATAAAATAAATTAATTTTACTAAAATATCTTTATTAATGATATTAAAGTTATAGTTAAGTGATAAGTAGTCTTTTTTAAGTAGTTAATCGATAAATAAATAAATAAATTTATTATTAAAAATAATAATTACTTTTTTATGTTTTAAAATAATAAATAATTTAAAATAAATAAAAATATTCAAATAACATTTAATATTAAACAGAAAGGGTAATTTTAATTAAAAATCATAAAATATTACAAACTTTAATATGTTAATAATAATATTAATAATAATTAATTAATGCTATAATTTTAGATAATTTAATATTTATTAATTTTTTATTATGTGCCTTTAAAAAATAGTAAAAAAATTATAAAAATATTTGCATAAATAAATAAATAAATAAATTTATATATAATGCTATATATTATGTCAATTTTAATTATTAAATTAAAAATTTTATTAACTAATATCTTTAAAATAATTATTAAAATAAAAATATTAAAAAGTACATTAAAATATATTATAATAAAAATATGTTTATGATGCTTTATTAAATTAGTTTTCTTTTTAATCTCTCTCTCTCTCTCTCTCTCAACAGCTTAGTTAACCTCACTTGTCCCAGGTTACAGCACCTCCAATCACTCTCTCTCTTTCTTTCTATTCTCTAGAGAGAGTGATCAATCCCCATCTCTGAACGTCTGAGACACAATATACTTCATACTTTTAGCTCAACCGACTCATTTTCAACAACAACTGGTTCTGCTTTATTAGCATCCATCTATACCATATATAAACTTTGTCTACTTTTCATTTGTAGTAGCTAGGAGTTACCATTTTCTAACTGGTCCACCCCTCTTCACAAACCTTGCATGCTAGCTACCACCACACTTCACAGTACACACCCTCACTTTTTTTTTTTTTCCTTTCTTTGTTTTTGCTTTTTTCAACTTCAACACATTCTAGTACTCAAACATTTCAATTCCCATTACCAAGTGACAAGTGAAGAAAGAGACAGAGACAAAGAAAACCATTTAAAGCACTCCCACTTTATATACACATACATTCTCTTTCATTAGTTCTAATGCTATGTGTATATTATTATAAGCTGATAAAGCTATAGTACCTAGTGGCTTCATTCTGGGCTATTTATAATCTTTTTGTACCATCACCCTTGTCACTCACTACACAAAAACCCTGTCCTTGTTTGCTCTCTCAAAATGTGGATGGTGGGTTACAATGAAGGTGGTGAGTTCAACATGGTTGATCACTCATTCAATGGAAGGAAACTCATGCCTGTCATGCTGACTTCTCTTAACAATGCTTCAACAACAACAACAACTCCTTGCTTAACCCGTATTCATGGCAATGATTTCTTTTCACAATATCACTATCATCATCTGGGTATGTATGTGTGTGTATATATATATATTTATCTATATGTTGTTTTCTCTTTCCCTAGTTGTTTATATGCATTTGTTGCTTTGACTTTTCTACAATGGTTATATGTACAAAAGAAAAATGTTTCTTTGTTTTATTTAGCAACGGTGGCAGAACAAAAAAAGAGAGAGGAGTTGAATGGTGCATCACCAGTTGTGGTGAGTTCAAGGTGGAATCCTACTCCAGAGCAACTAAGAGCCCTTGAAGAGTTGTATAGAAGAGGGACAAGGACACCATCTGCAGAGCAAATCCAACACATCACTGCACAGCTTAGAAGGTTTGGTAAAATTGAAGGGAAGAATGTTTTCTATTGGTTTCAGAATCACAAAGCCAGGGAAAGGCAAAAGCGCCGCCGTCAGATGGAATCGGATGCTGAAACTCCAGAGAAGAAAGATTTATGTAACACCCTCATGCCATTCTTAGTCCATTATAATCATTTGTTCATAATAAAAAAAAGTCAGAATATAAGGAGAGAGAGTGATGAGAGAGGGGTGATGATGATACTTTGTTTTTAAAATATATGTTTTTTATTTTTTAACAAAATTTAGTTACAGTATCTTATAAGTATTGTTTTTTGAGCAATGGTTTCTACACTAGACACCCAATATATTTGGGCGTCGAAGTATTTTTAAATTTTTTTTTTTGTATAAAACTGTTTAAATAAAATTAATATAGTAAAAAATAATATAAAATAGTTAAAAAATTATTTTAACACTCAAATATATTGAATGTTTAGTGTAGACACTCGTTTTGAGTCTTAAAATAGGACTGTTTAATTTTCTCTTTTTCAATTAAAATTAGAGTTTTAAGAGTAAACAACATAAAAAAGGTTAGTATAAAAATTTGACATTGATTTATGAAGTAAAACTCCAAATTTAGTTAGAGAAAAAAATTAATAATTTGTTTCTTTTGTTTTTGTTTCATTGAAATTTGTTTGTTAGAGATCTGTTTTATGTGTTGGTTTTCTTTTTTATCTCATTCTGGTTGTTGCTTGAGATGTGAAGTTTTATTCTTTTGTTTTTCTTGTTGTCTACAGCTGCAAGCAGGACAGTGTTTGAAGTTGAACGGACCAAGAACTGGGCATCCTCTACAAATAGCAGTACTCTTGCAGAGGTCTAAAAAATAATAATATTCTATGTCGAATATCCGGTTTTTGTCTTTGTCCATGCTCATGATCTAACAATATATACATACCCTTTTCGTTTTTGAACTTGAGATGATTCTCTTAATCGCCAAAAGTTTATGAGCATATATGTATCCATTAACTGGTGATTATTTGCATATGATTACTAGAGATCAAGTTGATGTTGGAAATATATGTATTATGGAAAGATATGCGCTAACTATAGGGAAAGGACCCAACAAAAGCTTTGTTTGTTGGGAAATGAAAAGGGACTAAAAGCTGAATTCCTTCCTTTCTGTCGGGGCTGCTGTTATGAAACATAGCTTTGCTTTTGGGGTTTGTGCTTATTCGTGGCATTTAGGTCAGTAGTTTTTAGGGCACCCCACAAATATTCTATACAATTGAGTATCCATTATGATTGAAAAGACAATATTACCCTACTTTTATTTCACTTCTCTTAGACTTTGCATTACATTTACCTGAATCAGTAGGAACTTAAGCAATTTTATGTAAACACAGTAATTATAAACATAACTAATCAAACATAATAAAGTTTAATAAATGTTAATCAACGACTTAGTATACAACAAATATTTTAATTAAAAAGCTTAAAAAGATATATACTGATTCCTTTAAATTTTTATGATGTATTTTAACATGACTTTTTTATATATATTATTTGCTGATTTCTTAAATAGTATGTTATCATACTGGTTACCCTGACCTTAAAATTTATTTTGAAAATTATGTATAGTTATTTTATATTATCTTAAATACCACATGAAAGTATTTCTCCAGGAACTTGGAATGCCCAATTGAAATAATTGCCATTCAGTACATTCTTTTTCTCCCCCTCCCGCATTTTAGTTTTTGACATACATATATGTTGAATTTCTTATATTCTATTTTTTGCATGGTTGCATTTAAAATCCACAGGAATCTGTTTCAATACAAAGGGCAGCAGCAAAAACAGTAACTGCAACAGATGGATGGCTCCAATTCGATGAAGGGGAATTACAACAAAGAAGAAACATTTTGGAAAGAAATGCAACGTGGCATGTGATGCAGTTACCTTGTCCTTCTCCTGCACCTGCCACCTACCTCATAAACACCCCTCCTAATGCCACTGCATCTTGTAGTATGGCCACTACTACAACCACCGTAACCACAACAACAACAATGGACCCAAAGCTCATTAAGACACATGATCTCAGCTTTTTTATTTCACCACAGAGAGAAAAAGGTATTATTTACTTAAGCAGTAGCAGTAGTAGTGAAGATGATAACTGTGTGGAATCTCAAACAACCCTTCAACTTTTCCCTCTAAGGACTGGTGATGGCATCAGTGACAACATTAACGATGTAGAGACAGATATATCAGCTTCAGCAATGAATGCCAACTTGACCCCAAGCCAGTTTTTTGAGTTCCTTCCATTGAAGAACTAATTAATATCAGAAACACATGCTATATATATATATATGTTTGTAAAGTGATGGGAGCTGTGTATTTTGATAATGCAGTTATTTTGTTAGAAAATGGCACTGCTTTTATTGTTAGTGATGTTATATTTCAACGAATTGATGGTGTAATAGGACACTGATCAATTTGAATGAAGGTATTTTACCTTAAAATGCATGCGGACTATGTTGGTTGAATCAAAAGGAGAATTATTTACATTTAAGGGTTATGGTAATAGACCTTATTTAAGTAACTTGAAAGTTGATATTATAGGTTTGCATGTGGGTTCTGATGAGAAGAGTTAAACAGGAAAGGGAGTGGAAGGAGGGGTGCTTTGATGAAGAATGTATAAGGAATTTGATCCTCGAAATTGATTTTAAGACATAAATGGGAATAAGATGGGACAGACTTGAATGTTGAAGTTACTATGAATTTGGGTTGAAGTGTTGTTTTTTCTTTTAACATAGATGGAAACAGTACTTCGGTGTACATATGAGTTGCATTAATTTAATTCGCGTGGATTATGAAATGCAATTTATGACAATGAAGTGATCACATCAATGCAAGATAAGGAAGAAGAGGCAGGTACATTTAAAGTAAAATTCATATATTCGACTGAATGATGCTTTGATTTTATGTATGCAAGATGTCAAAACAAAGATATATGTATAACATCACATGATCGAGAACTATCCTTTTGAGGATAATAATTTGGTGTCAATATTAATTCTATTTAATTTAAATTTTGATTATGTATATGTCTAAATAATATTATATTGTTAAGATCTATTGTTATTGGCAGAAAGCTTTTTACCTGAGTGCTTTAAGTTTTGAAAAGAGAAAACGAGGGACAGAGTTTTCAAATGCAATTTCCTCAAACTTGTCTCGAATTATTAGCAGTTTCGTTATCTGAATACTTCAAAATTAATTGTATATAATATTGCATATTATTATTATTATTATTATTATTATTATTATTATTATATACATTTAAAAAATATATCCCACTTATAAAAAGAAAACACCTTTCGATGTCCCATTTTAAAGGTTTAAAAATTATTTTTCATTCTAAAAGCAATTCATCTAAACAATTTTTATTGTTTTTGTTAATAATAACTGTTTTCATTTTCTATAAACAAAGAACTATCTTAAACGGGCTTTTGGTTTCTTTATATATTTTACATATGAAAGTAGTGAAAATTAATGAAAGCAAACGTAACACGTTTATTGACAAATTTTAATGGTCAAGTTGCAGTAATCCACAACAAAATATCATCACATTTGATACTCAACATATCTTTATGCATTAAAGCATAACCATTTTACTTTTGTTTTTCGTGATTATAAACTTCACATTTGCTACGTATGAGAAAGCTGTGCACATTCTTCACCTACATATATATGCAACAAGTGCATTATATTATGTTCGTGTTAAAGAATTATGATTAAAACATGAATGATAGTCCATGTACAATATATAGTGCTGTAGAGGTAAGAAACCCCAGAAGATATATCTGATAAGCACTGAAGGATAATAAAAGCAAAATAATGGAGTACAACTAATTGAGTTATAATAATAAAAAAATATTAATTCTGCTGCTTGATGTTCAATAAATAGCGCGAGTATTTTTGTTATACGTTATTTGATCGATTAATTCACATAAATACTAAATAGAATAATATAAAACTTACTGTAATACCTTGTATGTATGTTTGTTTGCTTCCCATGATGAAAACTCATTTGACAATATTTAACTATTTTTTAATTTTTTAATATTGTTCATTAATTATCTTTACACTTTAATAGAGACACCCATGTTGGTTAGGGCACTCAAGTCCTTAACATTTTCATTACCAATCTGTACCGACAAAACTTGTCAATTGTCATTCATTAGCATAATCTATGAAGAAGTTTTACACATCCTCCATGTCAATTAAGTATCATTTTACTAAAAAATTATTTAAAAAACCAAAATATATTATATTTTCCAAAACATTCAAATAAAAAGTTAAGGACCATTCTGCAATATTTATATTTTAAAAGCTCCAAATGTAAAACAATAACATTCTAAACATAGTTAATTGCATTAAATATTTAACATCTTTCATGTAAACATATGATCACATCATTTAAGAAAGGGTGAATAAATGTGTTAAGATATGAAAGATTGTGCTCTTAACAGGTACGAGCTCGAGATTTGATTTGAGCAACTCCTACAATTGCGTCTTTAACAATTCAAAAACATTGAAAGATGAAAATTAAAATAAGATTTACATTAAAAAAAAGCAGTGTATAGATAATGTTTTATATATTATTTAACCAATACTGATTAACCTTTATTTTTAATTTATTAACCAAAGAGTTCTGAATGTTTACTTAGTAAGAGAGGGAAAAAACCAGCAAGTTTGTAAATTTCATGGTCCTTAGAAGAAACGCTGTTGGGATAGTTGGAGATTAATATTTTTTATTTATATACATACATATATATATATATATATATATATATATATATATATATATATATATAAGATATTTTTTCAATCAATTAATAGTTGCAGATTAATTATTTTCAAGATGGAGAGATCACTCTACATGGTTAAGAATTAATAACCATTATTTTATGGTTCTTTTTCCAAAGAAGAGCATGTAGATAAAGAATACCCCTTATTGTTTGGGAAATCCAACTTAAAAAAAATTATTGTTGTCAGGAGTGAAACTCAAATCCAGGACCAATTAATATGTGAATGTTTCATTGATTTACACACTTGTGTTGCAGAAGATGCCTTTTTCCTTAACCCTATTCATGCATTGTGTCATTAAATCAACGAGTCAGTGCAGACTCAGATTTAGCGTTTTGTGGTTTCAAATATCTTTAATCATTTTGGCAAAAATCAAATATTTGAACTCTGAATCACTAAAAGCATGTTGTCCTTTAGCAAATGACTGCTTACGTAATACACTCCCTTTCTTGCTCAACTTCTTCAATTTACTGCAAAATTAATTTTTAAATATCAGTTAATAAATTTTTATTAATATATTATAAAATTTAAAACATTAATAACATTGAATATTACGATTTTTATTAAAAATTGCTAAAAAAAAAATGAAATATCCAATGCCATTTAACTTATATTTTGTGTCAATTATATTTACAATAGTTGAATTTTTATTAAATACCAAACGCTATTGATTCAATGTTGAAACAAATAAGCACTACATTACACTTCATGAAATTCATTTTAGGGTTATTAACTAAAATACCTTTAGTAATATTTTAAATTATAGTTAGGACATCAAAATTTTTGTGGCCTCCATAATTACATCGCGATTACATAATTAGAGTTTTATCAATCATATTTATTTATAATTTTTTGCATTATAGAAGATAGTGACAAAACTGTAGTAGCTAGTTAACACACTGATCTTTAGAAAGTGATCATAATTCATAGGTGGCTTTCTCGTACATAAGTGGCAGCAATATATAATTTGTAAAAATGGTTAATCTCACACTGGTTTGTCTTTATCTTCTGTTACGCACTTAACTATTAGTCCTTACTAGTTCAGTCCCTACATTATATTGATTGCTTTTAAAGGTAACTGAACGAAACAATTGAGAGAGTCATGTTACTTTGGAAAGTAGGATTAAAAAGCTTTTCTCTTTTTCACTTGCCAGGAACACTGAGAATAGAACTTGAAAATTGAAATCTTTTACATTTAATGATATCATCCAGCTAGAGAACAATGCTTACAAAATTATTTACGCGTAATAATATATACATAGAATAGAACCTTCTCACACTAATATAAATTTAAAAATTCTTACATTTGATATTTGAACTTTATATTTAATTTATATTTAACGAATTATAATTTATTACTTCAAATATAAATTTTTTTAGAATATATATATATATATAATTTTTTTATAACTTAAACTATTATCATGTTTAACTTTCAAATCACGATACAAATTACTGTGGAAGTTCTTATTACCACCCCATATGTTGTCAACTACATCATTGTGACCTTATCACGAACATGTGTTTCACATTGTGTCTCGCCATATTCCTTCCACATTATCAAATTGTTATTGCATCATTCTTCATCGTCACTCAACCTCTCCACGCGTCACCCACCAATACATTGCAACCATTCAATCAAATCCATAATTGTAAAACCATTGTTCCCACCATCAACTCCAATGCCTTCCTCTCTCTTAAACTTAGGGTTATCACCATCACTATGCCTTGAGTTACGGCTAATTGTTTACCTCTGTGCCTAAAATATAACACACATAGCCACCACATGTCTAAGTCGACTTGGGCTTCATTATGAGTTGAGTGTTATCTTACCTCCACAACTGTGTGCATCTCCAAGTTAGATATATGGTATAATTCTAAATCTTTGTTAGCGGTTATTACATATAGTTACTCTCTAAAATAAAATTAAAATATAATTATACATAAAATTTTGCAAGTAATTCTATTATAAGACTTTGCAAGTGAGTGTTTTGAAATGTCTAAAATAATATAATTTTATAAGAATTAAACTTCAAACATGAAGAAAAATGAGATGTTAAACTCCAATCATGTTGCTAGTCACAACTATCCTTTGGTTATAGACATTAAGAAATAACACTATCCTATAAGTCATGTTTATACTTTTATATTTGACTAAAAACTTTTTGTTGTATATTAGTATATTTAATGCTAATATATATATATATATATATATATATATATATATATGTTGGAAGTAAAAATGATTTTAGATTTGTTCAAAAGAATTTTAATTTTAAGAAAAATAACAAAAAAATTAAACAAAATTAACAAATCACCGTGTGCAAAAATCCCTGCGAGTACAATGTTACTGTGATGGATTATTCGAAACAGTACGAGGGTTGTTCCCTTTTACCACTGTCTCTGGTTCAGCTCTCATTTGTGAATCATCACAACAACATGATTCTCTTCCAATGTGAAAGAGGGGGTTGACCCCTTTTGGCATTTCTACTTCCAAGTTTCCTCATTTTCAAAAGGGTTTACAGTAGTGAATTTTGTGTTATTTTTTTTAAGATTCGTTAAGTGAAAATAAAATTAAATATCTAATATATTTTGGTTCATTCATATTTTAATCATGATTAAACTTTTAGAGAAAATTAAATTTTTTTTTATCATTCATAGATATATAAATAAGCTAATTTTCTAATTATATAAAATAAAATTTAATAAACTAAATTGTAAGGAAAAAAAGCAAGTGTAATAAATTTTAAATTAATCTCTTTACAATTGTAATGATTAGAGTACTCTTTATACTTTAGATTTATTATTAATAAAACGATGTTTAGAAAAAAAAGTTTAAATCGATTAAAAATGGGGATTGGCATATATAGTTCAAGAATTGGATTTGCAGCTGATGGAAATAAAATAAACGTCATGGTCTCCCCAGTGGGTTTTAAGGCATAATTCATTCAATTATATATTTTTTAAAATTGTTTGTTTGTAGTTTGAGGATAAAACAACCTTTAAATATATATATTTTTTCACATAGTTCAAATTTATATAAGTGATAAAAAAAAATGGGTTCGATGTTGTTCATACAGTCTTCTTTTATTTACTAGTCTTGTTGAAGGTATCAGTAGAGAGAAATTAGAAATAATTTAAAAAAAAAAACTAATGAAATTTTATTAGAAATTACATAAAAACTTATTAATTATATTTTTTGATAAAAAGAAATAATTCCTGGTACCTAAAGAATGCGTTTGCGTGTTTGTTTTGGAAAAGTGTACAAATCTAAAAAATCAAATAAAAGAATGCTTAGATGGCTGAATCAGCCTTTAAATCTTGTTTATATATTACAACACGTGAAGAAAGCAATAAAAAACATAAAAAGAATGATACAAATAAAAATATTAAGATAGATAAGTGATTGTACAAAAAAAAATATAATAAAATTACTCAAAAAAAATATAATATATAAAATAATATTAGAATAAAATTTAAAGTAAAAAAAATGACTTTGGTCACATGAAACATTTGCAGGCACTAAATAAATAGAGTGAATTGTATAAATTTTAGTCTAATAAAAATAATAGAAAAAAGTTCAAAAAACTTTAAATAAAATTATTAAAATATTTTTTTAATTAAATAAATTTTTAAAATTTTAATTTTTAACCGAGTTACTAACGTGATGATGACGATGTATTGGTTTTGTCAAGTGGAATAAGATGAGTTGTAGTTTAAAAGTTTGAGAAGAATATACGAAAGTAGTGGCCAAGAGTTACTGTCAATAGAAAAAGGGCACAGTTGCGAAGAGTTACAATCCATCATCGAGTGATTACCTAACATATGATCATTACGATGAGATCTAGTCACAAGCATATGATTATATGTATAATAACTATATTTTCCATAGAGGTAATAAGTTGGAATCATTACCCTTTACATTTTACTATTAGATGGCTATAATCTAACATGCAGCATGCCATTTGGTTGAGGCTGAGATAAGCACAAACCAGGAAAGGCCACAAGAACACAAGCCCACTTGCTAAACCATTAATTGTTACCATGTTTGCTTAATAAAAATAATGGATAGCCATGCAATTTTTGTGGCAGTTTCAGGTGGGAGATAAAGTGCAGAGAAGGTTTTTGATGAAATGCCAGAGAGAAGTATTGTTTCTTTGAAAAATTTGTAAAAGGGAAAGATAAGAAAAATATTTAGAATTTCGCGCCCATAAAAAAAAGTGGAATTGAGTGTAACAAACAATGCCATATTGGACCTTCTTTGGTAGTGGGGGCAACCCATGGTTGGTTCTTTCACTGGGTTGATGACATCCACTGGTCAGAACAATATTAAGGACCAGTCATGAGCCATTGTGTCTTTATTAATGGTTTCACATGCAAATACTCGTTACACTACAAAACAATTTATTATATACTACTGTATAAAATAAAATAAAATAAAATAATTCCTCTTATTCTTCTATCTTTTTAATGCTAGTGAAGACCACAACGCATGATAATAATTAATTAATTTTTTAAAAAAAATTTATGTTGGTTACCGTACTTTTAAACTTAAAAATATATTAAATATTCTCTAAATTATACTAAGATATTAAAAAAAATTATATATTTTTTAATATACTACTAACTCTATCATTAAAATCAACTATTATAATTGTTTTATGTATATAAAAGCATAAGATACTCTCTTATTTTTTAGAATACTCTAGAATTTACATTTTTATATTATAATATAATTTTACTCTCAAAATTTATTGATTGAATTATCTAATTCATTATTAATTGATTTATTCACTATTTAAAATTAATCAAATAAACAAATAATCTAAAATCTGTTTCCAATTTATATTATTTGTGTGATTAGTATCCACATTTTAAAAAAGTATAAGATGCTTAATATATTATGAAATACTTTTCAATCCACTTCATTCTTGAAAAACTAACATTAAATCTATCTATAAACATTGATAAAACATTATTTAATTTTTTCCTCCGTGTTTTCCACTGCTTTCAAAATTCAACCTTAACATTATCAATTCAATTTTCTAAAATCTTATTTAAATATACTCGAATGACATTTTACTATCTCAATTTAAATTATTGAAAAACATATATATATATATATATATATATATATATATATATATATATATCATCCACCGTAATTAACCAAGTATGTGCCTTAGTTTAGATAATCAATTTATATTAAGATAAATGATAATTATATTTTGATAAGGTTCCGCTTTCCAACATTTTAAGAACGCTTATTAAAAAAAATACATTTTTAATAAAAATATAACATTTATCATATTAAATTTTTTTAATTCATTTAATAAATTATATTTTAAAAACAATATTTTTTTAAGGATACTTCAATGATATATAATTTTGTTATCCTTATCTTTTGTCATTATATGTTTGCATGTATATGTAATGTAAAATACAATCCATCAAGCTAATGGACTATTGAATATGTAGATTGATTGACATATGGTTGTTATAACTTGTTAAATATTAGTTGCTAGTAATCATATATAATTAGACCTGAATTAGTCAAATGCTTAAGGTAGTGTTTGGATAATAAAAAAAAGAAGCTAATGGTGCTTTCTTAATATACATTAATTAATTACATTTTTCACGTGTTTTAATTTTTTAAAAAGTTAAAATTTAATTTAAATTCCATTCATAATTGATTATGTTTTATTTAATTGATAAAGCATAACTTATTTCTCGGTAGCAAGTCAATTTATCTCACTTTATACGTTCTAAATTAATTTAAATACATCTTATAAGTGAACAAATATGATTGCATAACAAACACATTTTAGTAGAAAATTCTTATTTTATATTAATAACATGTATATATATAGTATTAATTATGAGGTGAATCATTTTCATAGTTTTCCTATATGGGTCCTAAGCGAATACCATATAATTTGATAGTGCCCCCTTTTACCTTCAAACCGTGTATAAATATGACCACGACTTAGCATCCCGTTATTACTTTGTCCCTTGCCTGTGCTACATATAGTTCATAACCAGCAATATGATATGATTTTCAGTGTTTCTTAATTCTTTCTCTCCTCCTCAGAAGCCTTGTTTTCTTTATTTGAATTTCTCCTTTTTGGGGTACAAGAAAAGGGTAAGAGTTGAGAGATAAAGGGATCGTTCATATTCATTCATTCATATATATATATATATATATATATATATAGTATACCAACATGGCTGTGGCTGATGCATTTGATGAAGAGTGTGATTACTTGTTCAAGGCTGTTCTGATTGGGGACTCTGGAGTTGGGAAATCAAATCTGATTTCAAGGTTTGCAAAAGATGAATTCAGGTTAGATTCCAAGCCAACCATAGGTGTGGAATTTGCTTACAGGAACATTAAGGTCAGGGACAAGCTTATCAAAGCACAAATATGGGACACTGCAGGCCAAGAGAGGTAAATAACTCATGGTCCCCTCAATTTTCTTTTTAACTACTTCGATTGATTCATTGAATGATTGTGTTTTTGTCTCTTTGATTTGCCATGCATCATCACTTTATATGTTGTCTTGTTTTCCTCTTTTGATTGTCCTTTTTTTGTCTTCATGATCTTGGCAAATTAATTATGCTAGCTAGGTTGTGTTTCAATGGTTGGTTAAATTCATAAGCTCAGAATTACTTTAAAAGAATACCCTTTTGAATATGGAGAATGATGAGCAGAACTCAACAGTTACATAGTACTTCGGTGTTTTTGTTTGTTGCTGCTGTTGGTTTCATTTTGTTCTTTCTTTTCTCTTCAATAAAAAGTTCAATGCTTTTCCAACTGGCATTTTCAATTTCAAAGTCGGTGTCCTTTGGGTTTGCTTAGTCTAGAAGAATTTAATGGATTAAGTTAATTTGAATTGATTATTATTAGACTTTCAATCTTGTTCTACTTTTCATCCCTTATCTACTTCCCCACAACATCATGTCCCACCCCCTTTTCTTTTGGCTGCACTTTTGTTAGCTAGTTAATTATGTTGTGCTGTTTGTCTTTTGTTTAGTGACTAAAAATAAATAAATAAATAAGACAGAAAAATATCTGCAGTATTTTTAATTATATAAAGTTTTTTTATATATATTTTATAATATATATTATTTTTACCAATTTTTAAAAATTTAAAAATAAAAATATATTTTTTACAAATTAGATAGAGATAGAAAAAAGGAAGAAAAATAAGTGATTAAATGAGTGATGTGATAGGAAGAGATAAAAGAAATTTATTATCATAAAAATTATTATTAAAATAATATAACTTTAAAATAATTACTTCTAAAAAGTCAGGGTTGCCAATTGAGTACCGTTTTGGTTTTGTGGGGAAATCATTAGTGAAACTAGAAATCTTTTCAGGTGGGACCAGAATACACTGAGATCTTCATGAATTGAATTCTAAGCATGGCGTGAGATTTATAATTGTTTGGTTTCTTAAAAAATATTCTCATCAAATGAACACTTCAGATCATTGAGTTGGGTAGGACTTGGTTCTGTCAATTGTCATCAAAGTAAACGCTTTGTTATGCACTCAAAACAGAAAAAGAAAAGTAGACAAACTTGACTTAATAAGCTCACCCAAATTTTAAGAAAATTTGAAGTTCACCTTGTGGGTTTAAAATAGATAATTTAAGAAAAGTTAAGGTTTGATTAAGGTTAAAAAAAAGAAGTAAATGCACTTGGTTTGTAAGAAAGTTCATACACCGTATGATCATTTTAAGAAAACTTAAAAGGTTTGAAATCAAGTACAAGATCACTCTTATGCATTCACAAAATATTTAAGTCCAAGCAACTTATTCGTTCTATTTAAAATAACTGTCACTTTAAAAGGTTTAGTTTGTTTTCAAGATCATTTCAAAAATATAAAAAATATATTAATTAATTTTTATTCTAATTTAGATTTTTTTAGCATGTCTACTAAGTGTAAAAAAAAAGAACTCAAACAAATAAAATTATATATATATATATATATATATATATATATATAGGATAACGATCTTTTTAAACTGGTATAAGTCTAAAAATTCTTATATTCAATCTGAGCTTTCAATTTAATTTAAATCTAATGATCAGTGAAATAATAAATTATAACTCATTAGATTTAAGTTAAATAAAAAACTCAGATTAGATGTAAGAATTTTTAGACTTACATCAGTGTAAGAAGATCCAACCATATATATATATATATATATATTTCTCCAAAGTTAAAAAATATTTAATAATATTGACAATTTTTCTACCAAACCTTAAGCTATAATTATTGTGAATTCCTTTAAATTTCTTTGACTTAATGCCTACCACCTTCCCTGATTTTTTGTTGTCTTAAAAAATTGTTAGAATATGTTGACATGTACTTCAGCTCACTATATTTGAATAGCCTATTACCGAACCTACATGTGACTCAGAAAAGACATTTTTTTTTCATTAAAATTTGAATAGAGGTGGAATTAGAAAATATAAAAGCGATATGTTCCACGGTAAAAAAATAAAAATAGTTGAAAGACATGTTTAATTTTTATTAAACTAAGGTTTAGAGCAACTCAAGGATGGGTTGCTTAAAAAAAATTCATAATTTTGAACAAAAATTGTATATATAAGAGAAAATTATTTAAATAAACAACGATTAAAAGTTGAAAACATGATATCCACACCTTTATAGCATAAAAAAAGATTAATTTTATTTCATTTAATGTAGTAATTTAGAATAGAATATTAATGTTGGGTGATGCGGGTCCAGAATGAGGAGTGGACCATGTTCATCCTATGCTTAATAAGCGAAGGTGAAAATGATTGTGGGTAAGAACAAAAATCAAGTGGGCAATCAATAGGTTGAAGAAATGCATGTGAAATGGTGAAGGTTTTGGTCACCTACATCATCATCAATATCTTGTTTCAAATGGATTTTGACTTTTTTTTTTTACGTTATTATGAATATTATCTTTATTTTTTATTAAATTTATTAACGTATTTTATAATTAATACAATAAGTTTTAATTATATATATATATATATATGTATGTATATATTTCAGAGAGATGGAGAGAAATCTTGTCCAGTTCATAGTGTAAAATGCAGAAAAGATTTGGTAACAACTGTCTTGCTTTTGCGTAGTTGAAGAAAGCACCAGCAAATATTATATTATAGAAGAATGCTATTTTAATACCAGAAGTCTATATTATAAACTTTATGATATAATTATTTTTTAATTTGTACAACATATTTGATATAAACACTTTAATCGGATGTTAAAATAGTATTACTTTCTATTTTATGTGTTAAATAATATTCTGTTTGATATACAAGATTTGTAAATAATTTACAATACTGTATATTTTAAAAATATAAAATTTTTACTATTAATGTCTCCTTTTTTGGGTAAAAGAGTTTAGCGGTACTACTACTGTATAAAATTTAATATTAAATCAAATTTGAATTGTAATACACAAGACTTTTACTTTCCAATAGAAAATAAGAGAAGATACAGAAAATTTTCCCCTCAAAGGGTTAGGTTTGAAAGGAGTGCTCTGTCATTTCTGGCTTCATAACCTACTAAAAAGCTTTTTATTTTATTCTTTAACTTTACAATATTGATTATCTCTCTATTGTGGACAATAATTAGCTTGACAGTTCCAAAATTATACAAATTGTTATTCTTAATTTAGAGTTTTGAGAATAAATTTACATTATAATAAAACAATTTTTAGTGAAAATTACAAGACATGATAGAATTAAATACATTAAATACTAGAAATTTAATTTATTAATTTTTTACTGTGTGCCCCATTGAGTATATGTTAGAAAATAATTATATAATCTTTATTTCATACTTCATTCTCCGAAATAAGTGATCAATTTTTGTGGTAGGTTTAGAGCTATCACAAGCTCATACTACAGAGGAGCGTTGGGGGCAATGCTAGTCTATGACATAACCAGGAGAGCAACTTTTGTGAATGTAAGAAAATGGTTACATGAATTAAGAGAGTTTGGAGAAGACATGGTGGTTATTTTGGTTGGAAACAAATCTGATTTGGGTCAATCAAGGGAAGTTGAGAAAGAAGAAGGAAAAGGGTTTGCACAAACAGAAGGGTTATGTTTCATGGAAACCTCTGCTTTGCAAAATATGAATGTTGATGAAGCATTCTTAGAAATGATCACTAAGATCCATGACATCATAAGCCAGAAAAGTTTGGAAACCAAAATTAATGGGACAACATTAAATCTTCCTAGTGGGAAGGAGATACATGTAGCCGATGAAGTCACTGCTACTAAACAAGCTAATTGTTGTTCATCATGATATATATATATATATATATATATTGCATGATGAATTTTTGCTACTTTGCAAGTGTCTTTATTAACTTGGCTGTTGATTCTTCATATTTCCCACTTCTCTTTGCATTTTCTTTTTTCTTCCTTTGGGCTTTTCTTTCATGTATGAGCTCGTGACAATTTTTTTAGATGTGATAAATTAATGTTAGAATGTAAATGCTGATTTTAATATTATATGATTTCCTTGTACTATTATTAACATCCCGTTTTCTTCATGTCAAATAGTATGTGCATATAGCATGACATAATTTTAAGTGATCTATCTTAACCCCCAAGATACCATAAAAATATTCCGAAAGTTATAGAGACCAAAAGACAAACATTAATAATATACACTTTTTCTAAAATGATGTTAGAAAATTTATATCCAAATATTTGTTGAAGAAATCAAGTTTATATAGATACTAATAATTTATTAGAAGAAAACGTGGCTTGGTTCTCCGTATCAATCCTTTTACTCCTATAAATATAAGCCAATCCTGCATAGGACAAATCTTCTTTTAATCTAAACTTTTTATGTAAAAAAAGGACAATCGTCAAGGAAAAATTGGAGGGAAGACAAGAAAATGTGTATAACAGGGGCTATGAGACTGGAGAAAAAGAAAGAAAGAAAAATATTTAAAACTTGAAATTTTACTTCAGAAATTAACATTAAATTAAAAATTTATTTTTTGAACAAATTATAAATTTTGATTTGAGAACAATGTGCAAAGCATATAAGATAATGCACTCAAGTTTTGTTTCAAATAAAATTACTAAAAAAAGTCAATTATTTTTAACGAGAAAAATTGGTGAAAGTCACAAAACCATATTTTCTTTCAAAGTATATTTTAGATTAAAACAATAGTCCTTTCAAAAAAAATTTCGTGTGTTAGACCTCCTACTGGACAAGTGCAAAAAATTGTGCACGTAAAAATATCAAAAGTTAAGATAGAATAGAGTATAAAAAAGTGAAAAAGAAGATTAATTGATGTAAAAAAAAAGTTCGGAACCTTAAGATTATGTAGACAATTTCTTTTGTTACTAAAAATCATCTCCACAACAAAAAATGATTGGCCTTGGCTGGTTTTCCAATGGAAGGGAAATTTAATTTCGTGGCTTATAAACCAATACGACATTGATGGAAAATGAAAGTAAACACTGAAGAACAATGGCTCATAATCCTCGTACCATTTTTTCTCACGTTGTTGTTGCCTTTCCTTTAGTGGCATCCCGATTCTCTAGCTTTTCTTCTCATCACTTGTTTGGTCTAACGATACCCTTTTCTTTTGACTTTGCTTATGTTTAAATGGAACCAACATTCAACCTTTACCATCTTAGAAATGTGGATACATTATATGCAATAAGAAAAACCAGGTTAGGTTCCTCTCTCATCCTTTTTTGTTAACAATGCATGCATGCATGTTTGTTAATTTACATACATACAGACACATGTATGTTTCATTTTTCAGTATTATTATTGTTTCCCCTCCTCAGTATATGAAAATTGGAAAATGTTTCTTGAACAACTTTTAGGCTTTAGTTGCCTCCTTTGTTTTTTTAGTGTATTTTTGGGATATATGTGTAAAAAATATATAAATTAAGAGATAAAAATAATTGTATATGATATTATATATGGCGTCAATTTTCAATAGTTTAGATAACAAGACTGATGAAATTTGGTCTCCGAATCACCACAACATTTTTCTTAGCATTTCCATTGCAAAGGTCACCATCTTTCCCAATCAAGAAGGACCACATAGGTGAGAGGCACTTTTTTTATTCCAGTTGAATGCTACAATGTTTCTCATTGTACTTGTGAATCTTGAATTAGTCATCCAACTGACATGTAACATGGTATTTTCTTTGTCTTTTCGTTTTGTTGGTTTTGTTTCTGAGTGTCCTCTGTTGTGATTTTATTTGGAGGGGCATTGTTCTCTCTAAATTCTAATGCTGCCTTTCTGTTGTATGTTGCAGAAAATGCTTCCTTTCTGAGTGTCCCTTTACGTTCACTCAACATTTCAAATTACATTCTATCTTTGTCTCCTTCATGCATAGAAGAAGATGTGCTGGGATTTTGGTTGGGAATGATGGTATGCACCCCTTATAGCCAAAACATGTCATTTATAATGCATAAAATGCCTTGTTTCCCTCAATATAGATATAGAATGTTGATTACACTGATTGTTTCTATTGACTGGTAGTCATCTATGGTGCTATTACCTGCCAGCTATTTAAATTGTTGTCCAAATTATTCGGTTTTTTCTTTCAGTCTTTTTCACATGTCAAACTGTTTAGAATGTCATGTGCTTTCAATGTTTCAATTTAGTGATTAGTTTTCCTTTTTCTTCTCCTTAAGTTTACCTCCAGTCCTTTACTTTGTCTTGTCGCTACCAAGTCAATGTCCCTTTGTAGTTTAACTATTGACCATGGTAAAATGAAATGTGGAGCTGATGATTTCATTTCATATGACAGCCAATTGCATTTGCTGTAGCATATGTTGGCTCAACCTTTAAGAGTCTTTCAGAGATTACACATGGATCGAACCAAGTTTCAACAATTCAATGGGTAACATGAACTCCTGAAGCCCTTCGTTTTCCATTTTGTAATATCTGTTTATATTGAAAGAACAAAATTTTCCATATGTAACAAAAACTATCAGCTCTATAATTCTCTTAATAATGATGAGTCTCAGGGAATGAACATTTTTTTCAAGTTTTATTAGTCAAGAGAAGTTTATACTTTGAAAAAAAAAAAAAAAAAAGGTCTTGATATCTCAAATTAGCACCAAATGAACCTGCAGACACAAGATTTCGTCTAACCCGTGATTCAATTTCCATTAGCCTATAGGCTCTATATGCTATCTTATCAATGAAGAGCACATTAATGTATGCGTTTTCCATTGATGAAAGAATGTATCTGATTTTCCGAGATTCTTAATGCAGACTGAGTAAGTTTTATTGTATGGTATATGTTTCCTAGTTCATGAGTCAATGAGCTGGACACTTGCATGGCACCAATCTGGGTATCTATCATGATGTTCTTGATATTATGAGTTAGATCAACAGAACAAAATAATGTTCATTTAGGGGAATGTCCTGCTTATGTTTTTTCTTCGAGTCAAAGTGTAATATTACTAGGTGTATCATAGAGAAGCATATTTATTTTTGTTTTTTCTTCCAGTCAAAGTGCAGTAAGACATACTTGCAAAATTATAATTTTAGTTTCTAAAGAACTAAAAGTCCAAAACCCATTTGAATGTTGTTGTCTCCCCTTCCTTGTTGACATTCTAATGTAAGCTTTGCAATGCAGGTACTATTGTCAATGGGCTTAGCATTATCAGGTAATTAGTATTGATACGTAATCTTTCATTCTTTTTAATGTATAGGTGTTCATTGGCATTGCTATTGGTTTCCCAATTCAGTTTATTGTGTATGTTTCATGACTTACATTATACACTTGAGGTGATTGGTCTCTCTTACATTTTTACAAAGAGAGAGGATCATGTTACTTCACTTTATTAAAAGGGCTGGAAATTTCCCAAAAGTTGTAATCATGAAGCTATGCAGATGAGAAGTTCAAATTTTTCATATTTAAAATCACTTAAAAAGTCATTAGGACTAATGGTATAACTTTATTTGTGCCTTTTCCCCCTTCGCCTATTTTTGTGTCAAATAATGCAAATTTTCTAGTTGGTTGTATTCATCAATTTTTATTGTGGTTTGGTCTTTTCCCTTGTGTGTATGCAGTGGCTGTGTTGGCTTTCATCACCATAATTGCTAATGCCCCTGATGAATTAGCTAAGCTGGACCTCCCGAAGCCTGTCAAGGTCAGAATAGATCCACTAAGAGAAGATCTTGAAAGAAAAATGTTAGTTACTGTGTGAGCTTAGTATATGTGCAGTTTTGAACCGATTCAGTTGTCAATAGTATATGTAGTGGAAATTAGGCCCATTTGAAAAAGCCCGTGAATAGTTTATGGAAATAGCTTATCACTCCATAAACTCCTTTGAGCTTTTTTCAGTAAGCTGCTTTTAGTTTATCCCACTAAATTTTGTAAATAAATTTATGACATAACTCATCATTTAAAAATAGCTTATTGATAAGTGTTTTTTTTATATTAAGAATAAGCATTTAATTAAGCTGTGTATCCAAGCACAGTGCGTATCTAACAAGAGGGAATATATGTCAAATGAGATACGGACAATAGGAAAAACAAAGGGTATTTTAAATGTTGCTTTTTTACGTATGAAGGGTCAAAAAGTTAAAATCAACAAGGATTCATTAAACAAAACCTAATAGTGACTTTAAAAAAAATCAACACCTACGTTAACTACTTGAAAATAAGTTATAACAATTCACATGAACATGATAACAATTATTATTAACTAATCGAAGATATGTAACAGTCATTAATAAAAGCTATTAGTAGTTAAATCTCGTGTTTGACTGTTACGAGGGTTGATAGGTTATATTAATGGAGGATGTTGTTCATACTAGGAAGCATTAAAAAAACTAGGGTTCTACAATACGAAACAAAAATATACTGAATACTTCTTTCTTGAATTTCAAAACTAACAGATGACAATATATATAGTGCTAATGGATATGGGCCTAACATATAGCACCAGATAATAAAACTAAAAGTGAAGTTAAAATAAAAGGCATGGCTGGTTATTGCATGGGCTAACTATTGGCCCACTTCAAGTCTCAGGCCCTGTAGCATGTTGGCCGCTTAACAATACCGTCCGTCCCAACATGGACCTTGTCCTCAAGGTCTGTGGGTTTGCTGTGTTTGACAATGGGCGAATGTGAGGTATTAGTGGTCACAAGATGGGAAGCATTGGTTATTGGGGAACCACATTTGCAACACGGGTTAGGGCCAGCTGAGAAGGAGTGAGTGTGGGGCTTGGTGTTGGGACTGTGTCAGTGTCAATGTGGACACTACTCAAGGAAGAGATGGACAAACTAGATGAGATGGTAGGTTGAGCGTGTGGAACACGCTACTGGTGGGGCAACTTTCGTAGAGAAAATTCAACATGGGAAAGGGAAGTTGGAATGGTGGGGTCTAGCCGAGTAGAAAAAGATTAAGAGCCTGCCTTGGGTGATGTGAGAGCACAAGGTTTGTGCTTGGAATGGGTAGTTGAGATTATGCTGTTGAGGACTTTGGGAGACTCGAATTTATCCAACGAAGTGGAAGTTGGGACCGTTGAGAATGGGGTGAGCTGGAGCGGCAAGGGAGGAATTAAAGTAGAAGAAGTAAATACTTCGGGGGAACTAGTTCGCTTATGCTCTTGGGAAAATGAAACATGAGAGCTCTTCAGAGAGGTCGTGCCCTAAGTCCTTGGGTAGGGAAACTAAATGGATTTCTGGGTTTTGTCCATGGTAAGGTTTGAGCAAAAAAACATGAACAACCGGATGCATCTTAGAATCTGGTGATAAGCGCAACTCATAGTCAACAGCTTCTATACGACGAAGAACAGCAAAAAGACTGAAGTAGCGCTTGGACAGCTTGTGAGAAAGATGTTTGGCCACCAATTGTTGCAGATATGGTTGAAGCTTCAACAAAACTAAGTCCCCAGGTTTGTATTCACAATCACGTCGCCCCCTATTAGCTTGATCTATCATAAGTTGTCTAGTACACTTAAGAGTGTCTTTTAACTAAAGCAGGAGGGTAGAGCGTATGTGGAGAATGGTGTCTACAACCTCAATGGTCGCTAAGCCTGGAGTATAGTCAATGATGGCTGGTGGGGGTCATGCCGATAGAGGAATGATAAGCTGCCAAAACTCTACAAGATGCAAAAATTTGAACCAACGCTTAGAATAATCACCTGCAAAACAGCGGAGGTAGACTTCCAAACTACGATTGACAACTTCTGTTTGTCCGTCTGACTCGGGGTAATATGCAGAGCTATATGGTAACTTGGTAACTTGGAGGCGAAAGAGCTCTTTCCAAAAGGAGCTAAGGAATAAGGGGTCACGATCAGAGATAATGGACTTGGGAATACCATGCAAGCGACAGATTTTAGTAGAGAAACGAGTGGCCAAATTGGGGTAGTGAACTTGCTAGGGAGGCCCAGAAAGTGGACATACTTGGTAAGGCGATCACAGATGACCCAGATGGTGGAGTAACCAAAGGAAGGAGGAAGATGGGTGATGAAATCTATGGATAAGTCTTCCCAAACTCGTCATGGAACTGGTAAGGGTTGCAATAATCGGGCTTTCTTTTGTGTCATATTTATTTTGTTGACAAATCAAGCATTTTTTTTACAAACTGTTTTGTGTCTTTAAACATGCTGGGCCAATAGAATGAGGCAGCTAGGCGGGCGAGGGTAGGCTTGACACTAGAGTGGCTAGCAGAAGGTGTGTTGTGAAATTCACTAAGGAGAGAGTGTCGTAGATCAGCCAAATCAGGTACATACAAACTCCCTTTGTGATAAAGAAGGCTGTGTGCAAAAGAGAAATCAGAGGGAGTCTTAGAGTCTTGAAACTGTTTGGTTAATGCCTGACCTTGTGGTAAATGTGTGTAGAAATGTTGAAGTTGTTGGACCATACGAGGAACAAGGGTGGAAATTGCACAAAAGAGGGGGGTATTATCATCAGGGGTATTAGCCACCTAACAGCGGAAAGAGCATCAGCAACACGATTTGAGCGCCCAGGTCGGTAATGAATTTCAAAACTAAAGCCTTGTAATTTGGTTGCCAATTTTTGTTGTTCCGGAGTTTGAAAAACTTGGGACATTATACTTTTCAAACTTTTATAATATGGAAATGCCTCCCTATTAAGTATTGACGTCACTTTTTGACTGCCTCTGTGACAACATACATCTCTCTAACGTAAACGGAGGAAGCCTGAAGACAAGGACCCATTTTCTTAATGAAAAAGGCGATGGGATGACCGCCTTGAGAGAGAACAGCACCAACAGCCACGGTGGAGGCATCAATTTCAACCTAGAAAAGCTGAGAGAAATCGGGTAATGCAAGGACAGGCAGAGTTGTCATTGTTTCTTTTAATTTTGTAAAAGCCACAAAGGCTTATGTAGTCCATTTAAATTCGGATGACTGTAAAATCTGTGAGAGGGGCAGCATGAGTAGCATAATGATGAACAAAACGATGATAAAATCCAATGAGGCCAAGGAAGCCGCGGAGTTGTGTGAACAAGCACTGTTGAGGCCAGTCCATGATGGCTTGGACCTTTTCCGAATCTGGGACCACCCCTTGGGCAGATATCACATAGCCCAAATAACCAATAGAGGAGACAGTGAATTCCAATTTGGTTAACTTAACAACAAATTGATTAGAACAGAGTAGGTCTAAAACAAGGCGTAAATGGGTTAAATGATCAGAAAAATTAGGGCTGTAAAATAAAATATCATCAAAGAAAACAAGAAAAAACGACGTAGGTAGGGACGCAGAAGATCGTTCATGGCAAACTGAAATGTGGAAGGAGCATTAGTTAAGTCAAAGGGTATAACCAAAAACTCGTAGTGTCCATCAAAAGTGTGAAAAGCAGTCTTGTGAGTGTCTTGGAATGCCATTCTAATTTGGTGAAACCCAGATCTTAAATCAAGTTTAGAAAAGAATGTAGCGGATCCTAGTTTGTCAAGTAGCTCGTTGATAGTTGGAATTGAAAAACAATCCTTGACAGTGACGACATTCAGGGCTCTATAGTCAACACAAAATTGCCAAGAGCCATCTTTTTTTTTTTAACTAGGAGAACAAGGGAAGAGAAGGAGCTCTTGCTAGGGACTATGATGCCCTCGCATAGCATATCCTGTATAGTGTTGGTCATGGCTTCCTTTTAGGAATGAGGATAACGGTAAAGGCGAACTTTAATAGGTGAGGTATTGGGTAAAAGAGGAATGTGGTGGTCGTGGGGTCAAGGTGGGGGAAGGCCATGTGGGGGGTAAAAACAGTGGGGTAGAGTTGAAGAAGTTGTTGAATTGTAATGGGTAGGTTGGAGGTGGACAAAGAAGACTAGGGGGAGGGTTGGGAATCAAAGTTAGTGGGTAAAATTTGCAAAAAGTGTAATGAGGAGATCGCGTTTGTGTGGAGTAATTGGCAAAATTGAGGGTAGGATGTAGGTGAAGGAAGGAAGGTGTTTTGGCCTGTGAGGGTGATGCGTGTATCATTATGGGTGAAGGAAATACTAAGGATGGCGAAATCGGCTATCAATGGTCCAAGATAACGAAGCTAATCAATTCCCAAAACAACATTTGTACCTTCTATTGGAAGTAGATAGAAGGGTAAGGAAAAAAAAATGAGTCTCTAAAGAAATAGGGACATTCTCACAGCGCTCCGTACAAGAAATGCAATCACCGTTACCCACCATTATGGAGCAGGGAGTGGTAGGGATTGTCAAATGAGAAGCAATTCGTGGTTGTAAAATATTATGGGAATTGCCAGAATCAATTAGAATAACAACTGGTAGGCTAGCAATGAAGCCTTTAAAGCGCAAGGTCTTAGGAGAGGGAAGGCGAGAAAGGGCATGGGGTGAGAGCTGGAAATGGAAGGAGTCAGAATCAAGGAGAGGGGTAGTAGTATCCTATTCATATTCAACATTTTCAATTGGTGGTTCATCATTATCATCAACCAGGATGAGAAATGTGTGTTTATTAGCACAACAATGGTCTGGAATAAATCGTTCATCGTAATAAAAACATAAGCCTTGGACGCGTCGTTCTTGCATTTGAGTTTGAGAGAGTCGTCTAATAGGTAACGACGGGTTGGGGGTAGGAGTAGTGGGTGGTGGGCGTTGAGTTTGGGAAGTGGAGGGAGAGAAACAAGAAAAATGAGACTTTGAATCCTTGAATTTAGCTTCAACCAATTTAGCAAGGCCAATTGCATGAGTGATAGAATGAGGTTGAAGTATCACAATTTCTCGCTAGATTTCTGGAGTTAAACCCGAAATAAAGCAATTAAGGATCATATCCGATGTCAACCCATAAACTCTGTTGCACAAACGTTCAAAAGCCACTTGACAATCAACAACAGAATTGGTCTGTTGTAACTTAAATAATTCGGCTTGGTGATTTTCAAATGCTGATGGACCAAAAAGCACCTCCAAAGCTCTTGTAAAAGTAAACCAGTCCAGTAATTGATGATTATAACACATCCATTGAAACCATGTCAAGGCATCTCCTCTCATGTAAAAAGCAGTCAAGGGCAACCGTTGATCTAATGGAATTTGGTAAAATTAAAAAAAAAATGATTTTCTTTAAATAACCAACCTAAGGGGTCTATTCCATCAAAAGCATCCAGCTGTAGTTTAGGTAACTTATAATGTGTCTGAGCATTAAGTGGCGAGGCTGTTTGGAAAAAGAGGTGTAAAAGTGGGAGGTGAAAAGGGGTAGGGCGGGATATTGGTAGAGAAGTGGGTAAAGGATGGGAGAAATATAGGTCAAGGGGGGTAGGGATTGTAATGATAGGGTCTGTGGGATTCGGTAAAGCTGGAAGGGGCATAGAAATTGGTGGTATAGGAGACGAAATGGAGTGGGTGGTAGGCAGGAGGTAAATGGGTGTGGAAGTAAATGAAGGAGAATGTACTTCAGATTGGGATGAGGAAGTAGGTAGACGGTGCAAGAGGTTAGCAAGGACAGTGGTGACTCTAGCATGTCTAGAATCCATGATGGCCTGTTGGTTTTCCAATCTAGTAGCAAGACATCCTAACTCTACAATGAGAGCAGCTATAGTAGGCGCTGGAGAAGGATCTAAAGAGGATGTAAGGGTAGTTGGTTTCGGAGGAATGGAATAAGCTCAATGAAAGCACCAATTGTTACGAGGGTTGATAGGGTATATTAATAGAGGATGTTATTTACACTAGAAAACATTAAGAATACTAAGGTTCTACAATACAAAACAAAAATATACTGAATACTTCTTTCTTGAATTTCAAAAATAACAGATAACAAATATATAGTACTCCTAGATATGGACCTAACATATAATACTAGATAATAAAACTAAAACTGAAGTTAAAATAAAAGACACAGCTAGTTATTGCATGAGCTAACTATTGGCTCACTTCAAGTCTCAATCCCTATTGTGTTGATCTTCCAACGTTATGTTTAGGCTGCTTAACAATAACCGTCAACTGAAAGAATAATAATTGTTGATGCTTGATAACAAATTCAAAGACGAGCAATGATTTGGTCCCAATTAGCTATTATTTACCAATCATAGACAAGTAAAAAGCATTGAAAACAAATACTAACTACTCAAAACTGAATGTTATCATTTACGCCACCAAATGACTGATTAACATGAGATATGGTGGAGTTTGGTTTGTTCTACGTATCACTTCCCCACACGTTAATCAAACTCGAGATTTTAATGAAAGATTTGTTTGAATAGCTCTAAAATAAGCATCACTTATCACGGCAAGAAGTGCTGACGTTTGAAAATTTGAACAATTTTTCATGCGAGCAACACTATCTAAATTAACCGAGACTTCTAATTTAACAAGTATCATTCATAATTTTATAATTTTTAATAAATTACAACCAATAATAAAAATTGTCTTGACAGAGAATATTGGTAGCACTCCTCATTTCACATTAGGCAAGCAGTGTATGAGAGAAAACTGTTGGCACAATCAAACTAGGCAAATAAAATGTACAGCATTTGAACAACCAACATGGTCCCTATTTACAGCAACAAACATTTTTCACTCATTGTGCATCTTTTTCAACTGTTCAAGTTACAGCTGCAAAATTTCATAACTATTTATGGACAACAAAATTTATAATTGATTACAACAATTACAAAAGAATTGTGTACAAACAAATGGTACAACCTGACAATGACTGCACTTCAGATTGCAAAAGGGAAACCAACAACAAAAGAGAAGACAAAGGAAGTAAACAGAAAAGGAACGAGTGAAAAGAATCACAACCGTGGACGAGAATGTAAGTTAGGTGATGGCTTCAATCACTCACATTTTTAATTCCAAAAATACTATACAACTTGACAACTCCTCACCTTTTAGCAGCAAAATGAACAAAGATTTGGTTAGTTGTGTAATTGTTTCCTATCTTGCGGAGTCTTCTCCAATGCGCGATGACTGAGCCTTTTCATGCTTCCCCAGTCCACTCGGTCGAGGCACTTGAGAACCAATAAGTGGCTTCTGTAATGGCTTCAGAGCCGCCAATATTTCAGCAAATGAAGGTCTCAACTTTGGATCTCTATAAGACAAAAGTGCAAAATTCAGTCACGCAAAAATACATTCTTTCACACTAACATCTGCAAGATCACATGGGCACGTTCTGCAACTACTTGTACAAAAGCATCTGAATCATATCATGTCTACAACTGTTTTGCATTTTTACCATGAAAACTTCGACAAAGATACATCTCCGAAAAATATAATAAAAAGAATTTCTCTAAGTGTGGCAAAAGCAGAAAAATTCAATCTGGTTCAATTAAAAATAATCTAAAATTTGGTATTTCATCAGTTGGTTTCGGAGCAAATCATTATTGTTGGACGAGACACACATGATTGACAGACTAACCATAATACCATATTGATAGTACTCACAATTTTTAATAGCGATGCTGATTGAAACACATCGTTTCATTTAAAGGAAATAAAAAAAGGAAAAAGAAACGAGAAAGAGACAGATAGGGCACAAATTACGTGAAATAAAAGGGGGGCATTCCTCATTCTCCCATTCAGTCATCTAAGCGCCGCTGCACCCCCTCCCCCCCCTAACCCACTACGTCACCCCAAACTTTCACACACCGCACTTTACCAAATTTCTGTCGCCAACTTTGGTTTCTCACGTGTCCTCTCTTTTTTTGTGAGTACTCATTCTTTTACTTTAATTCATCTTTTTGGAATTTTAGAAAAATCTTTGTAACCCAATTATTTTTTTCTTTCGCATAGTAGATAGCTTTGGTTGAATTTCTGAAGTTAGAGATAGTGCTCTCAAGAGAAAGGGGTGTTATCCATTGTAGAAGAGATCCCTAATTGGGTTCCTAAGGTATGCCCACAACTCGAATACATAGGATTGTTCGGTTTTGGCAAGTTCTCATTCTTAGGGAATTTGTATTTTTGAGCTCTGAATATAAATCAAAGGATTTTGTTGTTAAAGTTAATTTTGAACCCTTTTTAAATATTATTAGTATTCAAAATTGTAGGCTTGCGTTTTTCTCATGATTACCAAATAGTCTTGTGAAGCGAGTTAATTGGTCAGTTGTGAGTGGATAATTATCATGATGGCTTATTTTAATTATTACTCTAATTAGTCATTGCATTATTATTGTCATAAATTTGCTCTAAAGGGAAAAAATTTCTTAAATTTATTTTTTGATCATATGAAAGTTTATTAGACATTATATTTCATCTAATTATCTAAAATTATTTAGAAAAGCGTGAAAGAAGTTATTGTTTTAATTGTATTTGATGATATTTAACTATGAGACATATGCATTGAGACTCTTATTATTGAGAACAATTTGATTAGTATACAAGAAAGACTTTTCGTTGTATAAACATTGTGAGACGAGCCATGTTAGAATCGTGTAACTGTAAGCGAAAATAACCACCTAGGTGCACCTAGTTATATTCTTGGAGGAGAGGGCTACCCATTAGATAGAGCTGCCAATGCACGGAGAGGGCTATCCATTAGGTAGAGCTGCCCTCGTTAAGATTAACTACAATATGATGTTTACAAGGAAGGAGTTAGAAGCTACCCCTAAGGAAGAAGCCACCCTTGGGAGGAGAGGGCTATCAACGAGGTGAAACTGTCTTGAACTTTGGTTTTCCAATGAATGACCCTTATAATGTTATATGACATCTACCTTAATAATGTCCTTAGAAAACTAATATTATTAACTTTTGGTATATATTAATATGATATACTGAGTCCTATAATTGCGAACTACCTGTGCATTATTTGCTTCTCTTTCATGTTCATTATGGTTAATGGCCCTCTTGAGTCTATCACTCACCTCCCCTATTATTTAACGTTTACAGATCATCAAGTAGCAGAGTTGCAGGCTACTGAGGACGTCAATCCATCCAAGTAGAATCCCTATGGGTAGGCCCCCATTGTCTTGGAGGCCTTGATATTTTTTTCTCTTTTGTTTGGACATTTTGCAGCTGTTTAGCAGTTAGACTTTCATTTTGGATACGTATTAGATGTTTTAGTGTGGATATTATAGTTATGTTGGAGTTTGGTTGGTTTTGGTTGAATTAAAAATAAATTTGGATAAACTATTATATTTTGAAATAATAAAAATACAAAGGGAACTCTGCCGAAATTTTGTCCAATTGTCATATTGCTTGGTCGAAGAGGTTTGTAATCTTATGGGGTGGTTTCTAAGTAGGCTAGCCAGGTTAAGTAGTGTTTCTAAGTAAATTAGCCTGTGCGCTGGTCATGGGCCTTCTTCTTGGTCGTGACACTGGTGCACTTAAAGAGGGACACAATTATGGAAACTCTTGCTCAAGTCTCGGTGCCTCTTTTTTTTTTTTTTCGTTTACAAATGATAAAATATCATTGATGTACAAGATTAATAGCTTACACTTCTAGAATTCTACTATAATTTCCCCTAATAACTTATTCAATTACACTTTTTTTCCCCATTTAACAGTAAAAGTCTATTTGTTTAAGTCAAGCAAAAGTAATAAGGAATTGTGATTAAAAGACAAATCAACTACCACAATGCAAATAATAAAATCAACTTAAATGATTCCACACCAGCTGATTGCAGTCACTCGTAAATAAAATTATTAAGCACCATACTACCATAAATGAATTTTCCTATTAGGAATTTAGGAGGACCAGGCTAGTTTAATTCAGACAAAGACCTTTCAGCAATCCAAAATATGTTTCAAATGCTGTCATGAAAAAAATGCACCAAAATAACAGATATTTCAGAATGGAAGAATAAAATAAGCATTCTTACGTCTGCCAGCATTTCCTGATAATATCTGCAATGGTAGGGTCCATGTCATCAGGAATGTCAAGACGACGTTGCTGGAAACCCACAGCACCAACAACTTGCATTGGATTCATTCCCCCCCAGGGTTGCTGCAAAGTAGAGAGCTCCCATAAAATGACCCCAAAGCTATAAACGTCACACCTAGGTATTGGAGCACAACTTATTAGCATCATAAAACCAGGGTGTAAAAAGTGGCAAAGCCAATGTGAACAGAAGAGTGACATGGGATCAAGCCAAAGAACAATATTTCATATGAAAACAAAACCCCAATTTGTTTTATTACCTAAAATTGTAGATGATTTAGCAAGTAAACAGGCTTAAAATTTTTCTTGATAAAAAGATTTCATTAGTGAGAAGAGAAAACTATAACAATCTTTTACCAGGGGCAGGGGGAAGCTAAGAAAATTGAGAATAACAAGCTGAAAATGGAAGCAAGACATAAAAGGACACACTCCTGAAAAACCTACGTGTATAATATCAAACAGGCAATGTACAAGGTCCCATTCCATAACATATCATAGGAAAAACAGATACCCTTGAAAATACAGCCATTCGCTCCAACTAAGTAGACCGTATGCAGTAGAAAACGCTCAATACCACAAAATTTTAGCTTCATTTTTCTCAGGAAAGCATTTAATCAAATCGTGAGAAATAGCAACAGGGTAGAAGGACACAACCAAAGTCACTATGAACTCCAACAAGCTTTTTCCATGAGATATTACCAACGTAACAATGCAAAAACCATTAGTTATTTCTTTCTGAACAAGCCCTACACACACCACACTTAATAGTAGAAATATCCATGAATGTGTGTAAATATGCAGCATGTTCTTATGGTAATATTAAGTAAAGGAGGAGTTGAAAGAAGGAAAAGATTGCAAGTTAGCAAACCACCTCCTACCCCGCAAGCATAATAATAATGATGATAATGATGATGATGATGATGACAAAATCAAAATTAAAACAGATTACTTCTCATTAGATGGTTCATTTCTCAACACCTCAGGAGCCATCCACTCAGCCTGAAACAACATACAATAATACAAAATGAAGTAATTAATATATTAAGGTGCAGACACAGATAGAACGATAATGCACGAATTGAATGCATAAGCAATGTTCCAATTAAGAGCGAAATTATGGCTGAGTGGATAACCTGACGACAAATAAGAGAGAGAGGTCAAAAAAGAGACAAAAACTGTGTGTGCTTGGTTTTCCTTTGGGATAGAGCCAAACATGCATTTGCCAAGAATAACTAATTATTTTTTGTTTGTACACTTAGAAATTCGTACTAATGAAAAACAAAACACACTATGTAGTTGAACTAGCCACTAATACCACAGCTGCAATATTAAGCAGCATATACCATCACTATTCACTTGAATAAAGTGTTATCACCTGCCTAATATTAGTGCCATGAAAGTAAGTGTCAGTATCTCACGCAAATTTGACAATTGTGTTTTTAGTTCTTGAAGTTTTTATGTTTCAGTAAGCACACTTTTCAGCAAAGATTATCCAGACACTTCCTTGGACTACACATTAGAAATTGATATTACAACAAGTGCACAAAATAATCCTTGACCGGAAGAGATAGGCATCGTTAGCCCCATAGGATAAACACGGTATGCCTAGCATATACAAAATTTTTAGGGCATAAAGTTCCAGGCTTTCCAAGACTGATTTAGATAAAATAGCCGACAAACCATCATTTTATCACTTTATTTGTAGGATTTTAGGTAAACTATTAATTATTTGAGCTCATTGGTTAATCAATTTTACCTATCTTTCTTATTATATTGCAGAAACAGGTAACGAGACTAGAGGGTGCTTTCTGGAGCAGAAAAATTCAAGAGAGTCATTTTTGAGGAATCTGGAGTCAATACAACCATCCTCAGTTCAAATTTTAAATTAGTAAATTGGAGCCATATCTTATGAATTATCTCATCTATTATCTCTTATCCCTTTATCCAATTTATCTATCTCTGATCTTATCTGATTGAAACTCTCATCTCTATTCGTCATTTGTCTCATCTCTCATTTCCTTGCAAAAGGATTGCACCTTCAGAATCATCAAGCACCCATACGATCAACCTCTTATTATCTGACATTAGAGCATCTAGACTAGATACAAGAATTTTAATTTATAGTTCACTTCTAGATACAACAAATTATTTTCATGTTTTGATTTGGTTAAATATTTCCATTAATATAAATAACTAATTCCATAGCTAAGGGCCTTGGCAGATCCTATGAAGTGAATAAGTCTTTAACCTTTTCTTCTTAGAATATAATGTACCCATAATGTTTGTTTCATCTTTTTTATTTCATTATTAAGAAGTAATCATCCTTAATAATCTTTAGTTAATTATATAAGCGATAATTGCATCACTATCTAGTTAGAAGATCTATGAGATAAATTGAACTTCAGATAACTGAAAGATCAATTGAAATTATAAGTTTCTAATTAGTTATTAAATTAATAAATTTATTATTTTTTCTTATTTTTCTAATTATTAATTGTCTTGTATGATCATTAAAAATATTAATAAAGGAAGAAAGAATAATATGAGTACATAATCATTGAATAATAGTAGAATCGAAATAAGTGATTAAATTCATAGGTGAACCCAAAGCCCAAAATTCATTCATAATTGGTTAAACCTTTTAGTGCTCATTGAATTTTTCTCTCCTCTCGCCTGTTCATTTATTTTGTATTTTAATACTATTTATTTCAAATTAAAATCCCAAGTCCTCTTTGATCAGTCTCAATAATCATAAGGTTAACAAATATGGTGCTTATTGAAATAGTCTTTGTGGAACAATACTAAATCTGAAATACTCTTTTTTACTATCTTCGACCAGTATATTTGCACGGAGGTTAAAACTCAACAACAGGGAATGCCTGCATTTGTGTGTACCCATGCATATATAACATGACTTCAATTAAACATGTACCATTATAAAGAACCATGCAAGTAAGAGAATGAAAGAATAAATAAATCAAAATGGAGAGTTTTAAGATAGCTTACTGTTCCTGCAGTTGATCTGGAAGAAAGGAATGTGCTATGCTTCATACGAGATAAGCCAAAGTCACATACCTATTCAACAGACAAAAAATGCCATCATGTCTACACATAGTATTCCCCATGCCATCAATGAATTTTAATCACAAGATTTGATTGCACCTTTACAACCCAATTTTTGTCAACAAGAAGATTGGGAGACTTCAAATCACGATGCACTATCACTGGAGTGCAGTTGTGCAAATAGTTCATTCCTCGAGCCTGAATATTCAAAAGAAACAGGTTACGTCAGCAGGCTTCATTGGTTGTTTATAACAATAAATTTCTAAAGATGACAAAATTGAACTAAAAGACAATAGAATCTTACAGTATCGAGGGCCATCTTCAAACGCCTTCGCTCATCTAATTGACTGTTTGGTCGGTGAAGTAATCTATACAAACTTCCTCTGCATAAAATGATCTACATCTCAGTACTTGAAGAGTCAAAAAGGAAAACAAAAAGGCCTCCAAAATATATTAATTAATCAGATAAAATAAATACTATAGGGAAGTTGTACGGGTCCAAATTAATGAAATGTATACAAAATTTAGTAAATTTTTATATGCTTACTTTATCTGCTTATTATTTTAGTAATCATGCAAGCATCAAAAAACAAGTTGGGTTTAAATCAATGAGATGGAAAATTGTAAAAGGAAAATTTGGACATGCAAGCCTACAGTTATCTCCAAATTTTTTTATTCACTTCTACGATATTCATCTTAAATGCAATTGGGCATTATCAAAATACATAAATAAATCACTCATGCATTTGATGAATGAAACAAATCTGTGCAGGCTCTTCGTTATTACTTTCCAATTAGGATTTGGGTTATATGCTAAATGCCCACATCATTTAGTAAACCTATTTGAAAAGAATTTTTGGTACATGCAGCAATATTATTTTGTCTTCTAGAAAAGTAAAAACTTTTTCATACATTACAGTGTCAATGGTAGAAAATATCAGATTCCAAAAGAATTGTCAATTCACAATAAACAATCTCATAAGCCATATAAAGCACAGGGAAATGAAGAGTCTCATGTTACCTGGGAAGAAATTCAGTAACAATTGAAAGATTTGGAGGTCGAGTTATAGCTCCCATGAAGAGAACAACATTTGGATGCCTCAATCTTTTCATTATTTTGACCTATTGAGATTAATATCATAAGTGAGGTTTCTAATTTAAATAACAGACTAAATAAGCTTTTCCATCATCTAAATCTATTAGTATATTTGGCATTTACAGCTAAAATTACAACACAAATTTTCAATAAGCAACTACATCAAAGCGAAAAACTTAGATGGTGGGCCAACAAGACAACTGAAACTTGACAACTGAAAATTATATCAGATAATATTTTGAAAAATGATCAGTATTAGACATAAAACCAATCATGTGCGTCTTACTTAACAACTTAAACTGTTGAGATATTTGTTGCACAACATGGTATTAGAGTCTCTATAACTAGGAGTTCAGTGCTTGTTGCCCACGTCATTTTAATTAAAAGAATTTCTGCACATGGTAAGAGTAGGTTTCTGGTCCATGATTAGATAAAAAAGCCATCCATGAACATTCACAGAACATGTCAAGTGTTTTGGGTATTTCATTCACAGTGGTCAATCTTGACCAAAAATTTAGAAGGATTACTCATATTACAACATATATAGAGCATGAAACAAAATTTAGAAGGATTACTCATATTACACCTTCTTACTGGAATTTCGAGAGTTCCAGCCTCTCCCTCCAATCTCCAATTTCTCCAAAAAAGATCCCTTCCCCCCTTTCTAACTAACTATTTATAGAGCATGAAACAAAACAGTTATAACTAATACAGTTATGATTGACAATTCAAATCCTCTACAGCTGTCCTATTTTTACGCTTCCTCTGATAAACTTTCATTAAAGGTGGCCTACGCTTATCACTAACCTAATGGAAACCACAAATGATTGCTCTAATCTAACGCATTGTGAAGTATCTGAACATACATTAACACAGATTGTTAGATCTTTTATAACAATTATGGGAACAAGCAGTACTCATCTACAACACTCACGAATTATAAACTAAAAGAAAAAGCATAGCATAATAGGCTAAAATAATGAAATGAACTCTTAACTTCAAAGAACAACAACAACCAAGCCTTATCCCACTAAGTGAAGTCAACTACATAGATCACATGACGCCATTAAGCTCGATCGATCATTTGACACTACTTGAGCCATACAGCCCATTACTTCTAGGTAACGACCTAGTCCTAGCACAATATCGTTGTGTATAATGCATATAAAAGGTTTCAAGAAGTTTTACATTGGCTACTGAAAGCTTAGCACAACCTTCTTTTACTTGGGCTTAGGACCGACTATGGGGCCATAGACCTAACAAATGCATAGAATCCTATAAAATATTTGAAGGCAAAGAAATCTCATAAGGATATGTGCATTCTCTCCAAACCTGATACTCCAAATAAAAGCATAAACAAGACAACAAGTAAATAAAGTTTAGCATCAAATCTAGCGCCTAAAATACCCCATATACCACTATGAAGCATGCTCTAAACAAAATAATACAACCTCCCACTTTTTTTGAAAGTTGAAGCTAAATTTTATATTAATACAAGTGTACTACAAATTTCGAGCTAGACTAGAACTAATAGTATAATAATCTAAACAAAAAGCTAAATTATGAAGACGAAGCACACAAATCACATCAATGAAGACAACTAAAAAGAAAAGCCATGAAATCAAGCTGGAAAAATGAATAAAAATCGCAAAAGAAATACAATGGGGAAGTAGAGATTGCTTGTACCTCAGTTTTGAATTCTTCAAGTGATTCACCAGATATATCTTGATCTAGAAACCTCTTTACAGCAACTTCCTATAAACCAAAGAGCAGAAATATGCTAATGTAAGATTTCTATAATATACAATATAACAAAAAATTAACTATAACAACACTGAAAAAAATAAAATGGGATGTCAATTGCAAGATATGGAACTTGAGTGCAACATTAAAAGTATGGGATTCTGTTAGAGACAAGTTTCTGGAAGGGCTAAAGGTCTATAAGCGGCAAAACTATAGGAGAGGAATTAGGAAATAGGCTGTTATATTCTGTTTAGGATTTATCTTTTGTTATTGTTATTGTTTTCTGTTTTCAATAGTTAGGAGCATGATTTTTGGAAACAAGAATAGTTTAAATAAATGGGGTACAAATGGGAATGGGCATCTTGGGTAATTACTTCATTCTTAGGGCGTAGAGCTACTTGAGAGCTCTCTTCCCATTGTTGTTTTTCTACTCAACTGAGCCAATTCAATACATACTTTAACATTCTGTTTTTCATACCTATCAATTGGTATCAAAGCACTTTCCTGGTGCTGGGATTCTTGTTGAAGCGATGGATTCAGAACGTTTAGAGCGTGTAGAGAAGATGCTAAAAGAACTGATGCAACGAATGGCAGTCCGGGGCCGAGCACGCCATCGCGACAGATCCCCATCGAGGACCCCTAACGCCGAGACACAGGACGGTGGAAACACACCTCTAGGTCTGAGGCATCAGTCTCACCGGAAAACGACAAGAGACGATCTTCTGTGTCTCCTCGCGACCGCACCCACTATCGAGACACCTTCCGGCGTCGGCACCACCATTCCCCATTCCGAGATCATCGCCGCAACTGCTCTCCCATGGCAGACCGCGATCAAAAGATAGAACTTCCCATCTTCTCCGACAAAGACCCAGTCAACTGGCTGGTGAAGATCGAAAGATACTTCACCCTCCAACGCATCGAGGGGGATGAACGCCTTGACGTCGTGCTCCTCGCCTTGGAAGGGGCGGCTCTAAACTGGTTCTACGCTTGGAAAGAACAGACGGTGGTCCCTCCGTGGCGCCAATTCAAAAGTGCCCTGCTGGGCCGCTACCAACCAGGCACGAGCAAGGACCCCTTTGAAGCACTATTCCGCCTGAAACAATCTGGTCCTGTGCTTGAATATATAAAGGAATTTGAGAAACTGTCACGACCTCTCAAGCATCTTGATATGGAGGTGCAGATTGGCATCTTCCTCAATGGGCTCCAAGAGGAGATTGATGCGGAATTGAGGAGCTTGGAGCTAGAGTCGTTAATGGCAATGAAGGACAAGGCCATCCTTCTAGAAGAGAGATATCGGGCCTGGAGAAATAGTCAAGTGACACCTTGGGCCAAAGGGGCTGGTAACAGTAGGCCCTATAATTCCCATTCTTTGCAAACAGGAACATGGACTAAGCCCAATAATTCATCTCCCTTGCAGTCAGCAACATGGACCCATAAAACAACCAAAGACTTCCAACCCAAAAGAGACCCACCCCAGCTAAACCAAACACGACCCAGATTATCCCAAGCTGAAATTCAAGAACGCAACCGCCATGGGTTATGTTTCAAGTGCAAGGACCCATGGAACAAAGAGCACATCTGCAAGTACAGACTTGAACTAGTAGAGGAGGACGAAGAGGAAAAATTAGAGGAAGAGCGGGGTGAGGCTTCAGGAGGGGAGGAACCTTTTCTAGAAACCAGACTTCGAGTACTCAAGATCTCATTACAAAGTTTGAAAGGATTCACCACTAAGAAGTCCTTCATGGCAAAGGGGACCCTCCAAGGCCATGATGTCACTATTTTGGTAGATTGTGGAGCAGAGGGTAATTTCTTACACACCGGGCTGGTAGAAAAGCTAAAGCTGAAAGTAACCGAGACTCTCCCATATCGCGTGGAGCTGGGAACAAGTACACAACACCAAAGCAAAGGAGTGTGCGAGGGAGTCCGACTGGAGGTACAGGAGAGGACCATTATACAAACATTCTACCTTATCCAATTGGGCAGTGTGGACGTCGTCCTGGGTATGGATTGGTTGCAAGGTTTGGGAACAATCACAGCCAATTTTTCTCAGCTGTATATTAAATGGTGCGAGGGGGCTAAAATCCGGGTACTACAAGGAGACCCATCCTTAGGAAGAAAAGGGACTACATTCAAAACAACGTTGAAAACACTAAAGGAGGAAGGCAAAGGCATTTTGGTAACTGCAATAGAAGCTTAACCTGAAGAGGAGGTCTCGTAGAAGATACCAGAGGCCATGAGTAAACTATTGGAGGAGTTTGTTGACATAGGCACAGTGCTAAGGGGGCCTCCCCCTATGAGAGAATGCGACCATGCGATAATCATTAAGGAAGGAGCTTCCATACCAAATATTCGTCCCTATCGTTATCCTCACTCACAGAAAAATGAGATTGAGAAGTTAGTGGATGAGATGCTGGAAGCTGGTATCATAAGACACAGTATTAGCCCATACTCAAGCCCAGTATTACTGGTAAAGAAGAAGGATGGGGGATGGAGGTTTTGCGTAGATTACCGAGCTCTGAACACTATCACGAGACCGGACAAGTTTCCCATTCCAGTCATTGAGGAGTTGCTGGATGAATTGGGAGAAGCTCAGATATTTACTAAGCTGGACCTAAAATCTGGTTACCACCAGATTAGGATGAGGGAAGATGATATCAAAAAAATAGCATTTCGAACACATGAAGGGCATTATGAATTTTTGGTAATGCCTTTTGGGTTAACCAATGCCCCTTCCACATTTCAATCACTCATGAATCAAGTACTCCGACCTTTTTTAAGAAGGTTTACCTTAGTTTTCTTCGATGACATTTTGATCAACAGTCGAACAGAGGAAGAGCATGTGAGGCAGGTGAGGGATGTGGTTGAGCTATTGAGGCAAAATCAGTTGTACATCAACAAAAAGAAATGCTGTTTTATGGTTGCCAAATTAGAATATTTGGGGCATATTATCTCTAAAGAAGGCGTAGAGGCTGACCCCAAAAAGATTGAAGCGATAACTAATTGACCAGTACCAAGGGATGTTAAAGGATTGAGGGGATTTCTGGGGTTAATAGGGTATTACAGAAGATTTTTGAAGGACTATGGGAAGATAGCGTGGCCTCTCACACAATTATTGAAGAAAGACGGGTTTTGCTACAACTTAGAAGCCCAAACAGCCTTTGAAATTTTGAAGAAAACCATGACCTTTTTGCCGGTGCTAGCAACTCCCAATTTTGACAAAGAGTTCGTATTGGAAACTAACGCATCAGGGACTGGATTGGGAGCTGTTTTGATGCAAGAGGGAAGGCCTATTGCCATTTGGAGTCATACTCTCTCAAACCGAAACCAAATGAAATCTGTTTATGAACAGGAATTAATGGCAATTGCCCTGGCAGTTCAGAGATGGCAGCACTACTTAATTGGGAGAAAATTCATGGTGCATACAGGCCAAAAATCTCTCAAGTTCTTAATTGACCAGCGAGTATTGGGGGAAGGGCAGCAAGGATGGATATCTAAACTCATGGGCTTTGAATTTGAAATCAAATACAAGGCGGGGAAAGAAAATAGGGTCGCGGATGCTCTCTCTCGCAAGTTTCAATTGGCAGCCCTTTCCACGGTTACCTTCTTGAAATGGGCGGGACTAGAAGAAGAGGTTCAACAGGGTGAGAAGCTAGCTGGTGTAATATAGAAAATTATACAAGGGGAGACTTCAGTAACCAACTATGAGCTGCGACATGGACGACTCTTTTATAAAGGTAAGCTGGTTATTCCTAAAAATTCTTCCCGAATCCCTCTGGTACTCCAAGAGTTTCATGATTCAGCCATAGGCAGTTACTTAGGATTTTTCAGAACCTAAAAGAGGATTGCAAGTTTAGTTTGGTGGGAAGGAATGCGAAAGACTATTCGTGAGTATGTGGCTGCTTGTGATACTTGCAACAGGAACAAATACCAAACCCTAAGCCCAGCAGGACTATTACAACCTTTACCAATTCTCCAATAGGTTTGGGATGACATTTCCATAGATTTTATTGGAGGACTACCTAAATCACAGGGCTGGGATACCATCCTAGTGGTTGTCGATAGATTAACCAAGTACAGTCATTTCATTAGCCTAACTCATCGTTACACCGCCAAAGATGTGGCTTGAGTTTTCGTCAAAGAGATCGTAAAGTTGCATGGGTTTCTAGCCTCAATTATCTTAGATAGAGATAGAGTATTCATGAGCTCCTTCTGGAAAGAATTATTTAGAACAGCAGGAACTCAACTAAGATTCAGTTCAGCCTACCATCCCCAAACTGACGGCCAGACTGAAGTGATTAATAGATGTTTAGAAACATATCTGAGGTGTTTTTCCAGCACTAAACCTAAACAATGAGCTAGGCGGTTGAGCTAGGCTGAGCTGTGGTTTAACACCACATTCCACAATTCAACAGGAACCACTCCTTTCAAGGCATTATATGGAAGAGAACCACCAGCCATCATCCGGGGGGAGGAAGGCGCATCAACAGTGGAGGAGGTCAACATTGCATTAGCTGAAAGAGACCAAATACTAAAAGGGCAGCTGAACAGCGCACAAGATCAAATGAGGGCACAAGCTAACAAAAAGAGGAGGGAACTAGAACTAGTAGCAGGAAAGATGGCTTACTTGAAAATCCAACCTTATAGGATGAAGTCTCTAGCGACAAAAACTAATCAAAAGCTCAACCTTAGATATTATGGTCCTTACAAGGTATTGGAGAAAATCGGCGAAGTCACCTATAAGCTAGAACTACCAGAAGCAAGGATACATCCTGTTTTTCATGTATCTTTGCTCAAGAAATGTGTGGCAGCAGACGTACAAAGTCAACCTTTACCAACTAGCCTGAATGAGAATTGGGAATTGATGGTTCAACCCATTGAAGTCTTGGCAGTGCGGACTACCAACCACGAAGACAAAGAAGTGCTGATCAAATGGAAGGGTTTGCCAATCATGAGAGCACTTGGGAGGTGGCAGAAGATATCCAAATCAAATTTTCCGAATTCCACCTCGAGGACAAGGTGATTGTTAGAAGGGAGAGTATTGTTAGAGACAAGTTTCCAGAAGGGCTGAAGGTCTATAAGCAGCAAAACTATAGGAGAGGAATTAGGAAATAGGCTGTTATATTCTGTTTAGGATTTATCTTTTGTTATTGTTTTCTGTTTTCAGTAGTTTAGGATTTATCTTTTGTTATTGTTTTTGTTTTCTGTTTTCAGTAGTTAGAAGCATGATTTTAGGAAACAAGAATAGTTTAAATAAATGGGGTACAGATGGGAATGGGCATCTTGGGTAATTACTTCATTCTTAGGGCACAGAGCCGCTTGAGAGCTCTCTTCCCATTGTTGTTTTTCTGCTCAACTGAGCCAATTCAATACATACTTTAACATTCTGTTTTTCATACCTATCAGATTCTAATGTAGGGTTTATAAGACCTTGGGCTCTCCAACTACAACAACTAGCTTTTGTAGTGTGATTCTATCAAGGTTCTTATCAATTGATATCAAAGTCTTCCACTGTATCTCCCAGCTGCAGATGAGCAATGCAGGTGGTGACACTGCATTGCAATATTTGCCCAGGACTAGTGAAAGGGGCTAGTGTGCAGTCTGCCCGCATGGGCACCAGAGCTGCGGAGCATTGTAGGATGTTCAGATGCCAATTAGTAAGGTATGACACTTGAGTCTTACACTGGAAGTATGAGATTTCTAATGTGCAGTTTATGAGGCTTTGGGTTTTCCAACTACAACAGCTAGCTTTTATAGTGTGATTTTCTCAAGGTTCTTATCATAATTCTATAACATAGATGACTATTTTTTTCAGATTAAAATGAAACTAAAACCCAAGAATACTTGGCACACATTCAAATACGAAGGAAATACAATTTACAAAATGTTGCACATACACACTGATGCAACTGCAGTGGTAATAACTAATAGTCTTGACACTATACATTTAATTTCAACAAAAGAAAAAATAAAAATAAAAACACATAACATATGCCTCAATGAGAATAACAAAATTGATTTAAGTTCAAGAATATAAGAAACTCACAGTTCCATGCCATTCACCACGGTACACCTCCCCATACGATCCTGCATGTAAATAATATGCCCACCAAAGGCAATTAAGACCTTCATATGCAAAACCAGATAAATAGTATTCACCAAAGAAAAGATGTAACCAAATCTTGTAGAAACAAAATGTAGTTAATACCGAGTCCGATACGCTCACCCAGCGTGATTTCCTCCCATGGAATGTCAACCTCAGCAACATCATCTAATGCGGAATCAGATTTTGTGCTATCACTACTTACTACTGATCTATCAGATATTCTCTCGCCTTCTGAATTTGCTCCTAAAGCAATATGCTCTCCATCACCACTATCCTTCAGCTCATAACCAGCACTGTCTGTATCTCCATCACTGCGACTGCCCTGCTCATACTGTTTACTGACAGCAGCAGTTGTTGCTACTACTGCTGCAGCAGTAGCAGTAGCGGCTGCTGCTACTGGAAGCTCAATGTTTGAGTCAATGCTTGATTTTGCCACAGCAACTACCACAGAAGATGCAACAACAGCAGCCGCAGCAGCTGCTGCTGCAGCAACAGGTACATTATGCCCATATTTGATCTGAGTTGGTATATGTTGTCCAGCTGCTTCCCTTGTATGAAGAGGAAGGTTGATTCCTAAACCTTCTACAGGCTTAGAATGCTCCAGCTGACTGCTAGAACTTGCTTTGGGATGAACTCTGTGTTGAGACAAAGGAGGTGAAATTCGAGCAGGACCAAGATTGTCGTCAACGTCAGCTTCTTGCCATCTGTTTCCCTGTTTGTGTTCATCTTTTTCTTCAGTAGGGAAATTAGCCTCAGATGAGAAACCTAACTCCTCATGATAAATGCCAGAAAATAAATTTGGAGGAGCAACGACACCGCTTTCAAGTAAAACATCATGAAGTTTCTGGGCTAAGTAAGGGTTCTCCTTGGCTGCATCAATCATATATAGAGAAACATCTTTGACTTTCATTCTACGCACTGCAGGGGAACTGATCCCTTCAGTCCAAGAAGGAGATCTTGCATGCACATGTGGGTGATTAGATCTGCTGGGAGCTTCTTGCCCCATGATCTTCGCAACATTGTGAGAACTTTTGAATTCATTTGTGGGTCTTGTTGATTCTTCCTTTCCTGAGGTGGGCCTGCTTATATCCGATTCTTTCCCTAGATAGGAAAAATGTTTTGATCTGTTTCCTTTGTCTAACATCCCCAAATCAGAAGATTCTTCATATGAACTTCCAATACCACTGCTCGATGATGCTACATGAGACGAATCAAGATCCCTTGATGAAGGACTGGCCACAAAAGAAGATTCATCATACTCCATATGTGATCCCGTTACATCAGATGGAATAAGAGTTCCAGGATCTGCCATTAGGTCAACAATGTATTCCCTGAAATTCAAAACAAGAGCATCTAATATATACTGAACAACTCTTAATTTAAGAAAGATACAAAAAGAATGGGATGATGTTTAACTACTAGTATTTTCAATAGATTATTTGAAAATTTAACAAAAAGTTGCAACAGCGAAGGTAAACCAATAACAAGACACTAGGAATAAAATACAGCTTTAAAACTGGAACAATCACAAAAACATCACACCATACATACTCTGCTCAATAGAGAATTAATGACAGAGAACAAGTAAAGCAATTCATATCATTGGGAAATGCACAGAGAACAATATTTTAAATAGACCAATTCTGCTTACTTGTGTATATAATAAAAGCTCAACTTTAATAGCAGTTACCTTCCATCATCAATCTTGACAAAGTTTATCGCCACATCATCAGAACCTGTATATTGCAGTCCTTTCACCAACCGACATGCGATGCCCAAACTATCAGCTAGAACCTACATTAATATAAAGCAATAGTTCTTATTGCATTCCACCACTTAGAAAATTAAACCAGCGAATTGAAACAACATACAAATATAATCAATGTTATCTTAAATATCATGGCATGTTTGATACATGTACAAGACCCCACCTAAAAGAAAAAGGCTTTTGTTATGTATTATCTTACAACAAAAACAAAGTTTACCTCAGTAGGTAAAGTCAACTACATGAATCACACAATGCCACTAGGCTTGGTCAAAAACTAAATTCTCATAAATTGTTGTATTATCTTAAATGCACAGTAAAGTTTTGAACTATTAAGATAATTCGACCAAAATATCATAGCTTGTAGTGGTTGACTCACAATTGATCTATCTCTTGATATCTTCAAACAACATTTTTATGTAAACCTAACAATAATTTATTGTTCATATTAGATCCTTCCATCGACTAATAGATGGCTCATTTTTAAATGAAATTCAAACCACAAAATAAACGAGAGGGATAAATACCTTAAATAACAACGCCCGATGCCGAGCCAATCCAATGGTTAGAGAACCAAGTGGCAAAACCATGCTACCAAAGGTTGCTTTCAGACTGTAACTAAGACTCCTCCATGCTCTTGTCATACTCTCAGGATCTCCAACTGGCCCACCCATATAGTCAGCCACAAAAGTTGCAAGCTTGCGCACCAAATTACTATCTATAACTACTTCAAAATCAGGACTTGATTTGCCACTCAGCTCTTGGGCCTTTTCCACAAGTTTCAACAAATTAGAATCAGCATCCCTATCGACCAATACAGCTTCCCACGTGCCACTACCTGAGATTAGTGTTCCTTGAAGATCTACCAGGGAAGGCATTCTTGTAGGGTTTGACTCAATCCCATAGAGATCATAGAAACCATCCAAGATCTTGTCATCATAACCAAGAGCATTGTAATTCTGTGAAGCACGGATAAATCTACGATATGAGATAAGTTAGAAAGGACTATAAGTAGGACAAATTATGGTCAAGTAGCCAAGTGACATACAGGAATAAGTTCATTTTATATCAAAATCATACAATATGGATCATCTAAAACAATCCAAACCATACATAGCAATCTAAGTGTTTATCAAATCCTAATCCCTCTATGTGTGGAATCCAAAGCACATTTGAAGCCAAACATAGAAAAGAAAAGCAAGAAAAGATCCAGAATTATCTCTATGAAGGGCAAAACATGACTACAAGTCCATAACCCAGGATCTAATAACAAGGTTAGAATACCATTTTATATAATAACTCAAAAGTGTAGGCTCTAAGGAAACCAGCCCAGCAAAGTATATCAGGCTAGCCATGTCGTATACTAACATTTTGTGCGACCAAATGATTGAAGATTAGCCATTAAAAAGGAGAAATTCAGGCGGCCATATTAAGGGGGGAAAGTTACAAGCGGGAAATTCTCAACGGCAGACAAATCCTTCAAGTGCAAGATAAAGCCAACATAGAAAAGTCTTCTGACTGATTCAAATAAGAACAATTAATATTACTTATTTAATGAATGTATCATGAACTAATTATCCCAAAAGCTTAAGTCATTAGGTGATGACACAAGTAGTTCATTACATCTCTATCGCTCCCCCTCACACAAGAGCCATTCAGGCTTGAAGTGTTGATAATGCACAAGCACACCTACTTTGTGCTGAACTTCATCTTCTGGGGGGCGGAAAATCAAACCCTAAACTCTAGAGCACTTTGTCATAGAAGCTCTTATATTATGTCATTAACCAATTATCCTGAAACCTTAAGCTGTGTATGTCAAGACCTATAAACGGTTTTATTACATCTATAACAATAGGTCCCATCATTTTATCAAAGTGAATTCAAAATCTCAAAAGGAATGAAGTTTTCACTAGATGTGAAGCAACATTTAAGGTATACGGGCCATAAACTTCCATTCAAAGAAAGCACCATATTTTGGTGTAATACTTAAAGGATAATTTCTCTTATCTTCATATCAAGAGGCCAACCAATTTGTTATATTCTAAACCATCATTAATGTCGACAATGTATGTCAGATTAGTCCAAAATGCAATAATGCAAGGCATCTTGCATTGACTTCTTCAACATCACTTCAACCCAAAAGCATAGTCCGAAATGCTATTAATATATATAATAATGTCCAAATTCTACCAAAATAAAGATTAGCTATCCTTGTCATTTCACATGGCTAAGAAAGGTCAAAGTGAAAACCCACATGAATAAGGGCACATGTGATAGACACACAATCCCAGATCCTTCGTTCCAGCTTTTTTTCTTCTCTTCATGTTCAGGCTAAGATCTATACCCTTAATTAAAACTCCATGCACCAGACAATGCCAATGAAGTACCAATCTACACATCTGAAACTCTACCAAATTCTGGAAGCCTCATATTTCTCTAAGAACAACCCAACAATCAAATTTACAGCTTCCGACATCTTTTCTTTCGGCAGCACCATCATAACAAGAATAATGTGACTTCAACCTAAAGTCAATGAATGTGCTTAAAGTGAATAAAGTGACTTACCCAATATCGGTACCCCACAACTTCAGCTGGTGTATAATCAGGGTCACAAGACCCTAAACTGATCTGCTTAACAGCTTCAATCTGCACAGCCTCAGGATCCTCCTTTGCACTCAGCTCCAAAGCCAACTGTATCTGATACTCTTCCTCCACTTCAGGATCCCTGGAAGCACTAGACCCCGAATCACGCCTTGCTGAATCTGAAACAACATCCAATCCACCACTGCTCACTGCATCAGATGGCTCCATTCTCTCTCCTCTTGCCTGGCTCAAAGATGGAGGACCAGGACTCTGCCTATTTGTAACTGAATGCAACCAATTTGAGAGCCCAGAAAAGGGCTTGTGCTCAGAACTTTGAGGAGACTTAGAGCGCGATAGCTTCTTAGAGGATGAAGATGAACCAAGATTTGACTTATTGCCCTTCGATGAAGAAGAACCTTGTTCATTATCTGATTGGTTAGACATGATATGAAGCTTCTTAAGAATGTTCTTCATATCTTTTCAGTGAGCAACAGTACTGAATGCTAGAGAAATGGAAACACCTCCATAATGATCTTGGACCAAGCATGAAACCCAAATCCAAATCCAAATCACTTTCTCAGAGAAGAAGAGTAGCTAAAAAACTATTCCAAAAAGCTTCTTTTTTTGTTTGGCAAAAAGCTCTTAAAACCCATATACCAAAACAATCAATCCAAAGAACAGCATGAAAGGTTTCAAATTTCAGCCAAATAATACCCTTTTGGAGGCGTTGCCCAATCAAGGCGATCCAGATGCCTAGGATTGAAATGGAGCAATTTCGTTTCCACCAGACAACAGATAGTTACTGTTGAGACACAAACATGCGCAGCCCCAAACTACACCAACCTCAGATGTTCCGCAATCTGTGTACTACAACACCACACATATCATCATCAACAACTTTAAGAAGCAGAAAAAGAAAAACGAGAATAACTGAGCATCCCAGATTGAGAAGGAAAGGATCTTTCTAAGCCGAGTACAAAAATAGAAGGAGCCTAGGGATCTTTGAAGAGAAACATTAAAGGGTAAAATTGCAAAGACACCACATATATATAGAGAGAGAGAACAAGTGGAGTGGAAGGAGTAGTAGGGTGCCACAAAGGATGACCCACTTGAGTAGAGAGGCAGAAGGATTTCAAGGTCCCAGAAAAAGGTGAACTTGGTGGGAAACACAACCACCAATGAAACCTCCCACTTGTTGGTTCTTTCTTACTTCTCCCCCTCTTCTTTCTTTCTTCCCTTGAGTGTTTAAAAAATCAAATAAAATAATGTGTTTATATAAAAATTATAATTTTAATATTAAAATTAATTTAGTGTTATTTTAAACAAACAATTTATTTGAATTTCTTGGAAGTTAAAACAAATTAATATATATTATTGAATAAGAATCTCATTAACCTATGTTAAAGTTGTTAATAATGTTTTTTAATTTTTTAAAACGTTGATTAATAATTTTTCATTTAATAAATAAGTTAAAAAAAGGGGGGGAAAACCATTGCTTGTGAGTTGCACATGCACACCTTTGGCCATTTCAAGCATCCCAAATCTTTGTCCTTCGTGATAAATGCCACTTTTTTTCCCAATTAGAGGACAAATTGTTTTAAAGTGGAAGTGGCAAAAACTCACTTTCATGCTCAAGCTTCCAACCAAGCCCAAGGACTCCTCTCTCACCAACTATAATAATTTCCACCCTGTAGCCACTAGCCATTTTTTGTTGCTGTATATCATATTCAATTCAATGCAAAACTACTCCATTTGGCCAAGTAAATCATTTAGTAAATTGCCAATTTTAGTGTAGACCAGCTAAAAATAACAATTCTTTCATTAACACATACTTTTTAGTCATTATTAATTAATTTAAAAAAAGACATCAAAATTATTTTAAACAGAGTTTATTGTAATTTTAAATTATTATTTTACCGTGTTTTGAATTTTTATTAATTATGCATGATAACTATTGTGTTCATGCTAAAATTATTGAAAGAAAATTGTGAAAAAGTAAACCATTTTGATTTGTCACCAAAATTTCAACTTTATAACATTAATTTATCTATTTATTCGTGTGTTTATAGTTTTACTTTTAATAGAATAATAGCCATTACTACATCTAAAGGCTCACAGAAAGAAGTCAAGACATGTTCTACTTTTACTTAACCCAACTCTGAAATTGTATTATCAAGTGCTGAGTTCGTTTTTCCTTTTCTTTTTCTCAATGGGTTTCTTCTGGATGAAAAGTGTAATATGCCATGACTTGCACATGGATAAGCTAGCACATTCTTTAATTGTTTGAGAGACCTGAGATGAGCTTGCACACATATATTCAATAATAATATTTAATTGTTATGTTGATTTATTTAACTCTTTGTAACTTAATTATAAGGTTACACTCTAAAGAGATTCAATTTACACGTACAGACAAAGGGATTCCACACACCCACATATATATTAATATAGCGGGTTTTATTATTTAATAATTAGATATATAAATCTCTAAAGTTGAACTAGAATCCCTAACTTATGACTAAAGATATTTAATTAGTCGATGAAGATTGATCAAATAAATTAGTAACAATAATCTCTTATTAAAAAAATTAGGAATACCAATTCTAAAAAGGTTTAATATAATTAATTTATTTTACATGCAATCTAAATTGTCCTTTTTTGGAAAATTAAAAAAATACTAATAATATACTTTTTTACACACAGTCTTGGGTATAATTTTGTGATTAATTAATTTTTAAAAGTTAAAGTATTCATTTTCTAAATTGATCATTTTTTAAAAAATTATTTAGACTTTTTAAAAAATTAATCAATCCCATAAACTATCTTAAAGAGAAAGTGCCCTTAATCCTTGGAGAGGGATAGAGAGAAGGGAGGCAAAGTAAAAGATTCAGATCAAACCCGCAGCAAAAGGCAACAAAAAGTGCATTAACTTAAAGAGAGAGGGAAAAAATGAGTTGGGGGTAGAAGAAAAAGTCATGGAGGTAGATGTAAGCTCTTATTTTCATATTTAATGTGTATTGCTGCTTTAATGTTGACCATTGGTTCTATTGGCCAAGGCATGGCATGTCTGCATCCAACAAGTCTTTACTCATGAAGGACAGTGACTGCTGCTAATCCTTACACCCATAATTTTATCATTTATCAAAATGATAGGGACCCAATACACCGCTTTTCAAAGGTTTACTTCTTCTGGTTCACTAAAAATGAATACTCATATTCTTGAATCTTGACTACAAGTTTTATTTTGGGATGATGATGCATCCTTTTTATCCAAATCAGGGTGAGATGGAGAAAAGTAGTTGATCAAGATAACACCAATACATGTAAAGGTGTGCCTTCTTCTCTCTTTTCTGTATTTTATGGTTCCCTAATTAAGAGGGATTATGAGGGGAGCTCTCATCCTCTTAAAATATTTTTTTTTAGTAGTATTTTATTTTCTAAATAATTATTTAGTTCACCTGAGATGCCCAAAATGATGACATGTTGAAAAGATCTCTTCCAATAAAATCCATATTTTATTTAAAGGATGTATTCATTTCTTTTCCTTATCTTTAAAATCCAATTAAGACATTTTTAGGGTTTTGGAAAGTCAAACCTGGCCACATGCTAACGTCTACTCTTTCAGCTGCTCAAGCAATGTGCAATATACAAGTCTACCCATGTATTATATGGAATGCTATATATTCATCATATGGATATGATTGCTCAAATCTTTCTTTATTTTTTCTTTTCTTTTCCTTTCATTCTCAGCAGAACAAGTTGAAAGAATATGTATAAATTTTTAAGTAAATAATCCTGTCCTTAAATATAGATTTTCACTTTTGATTGTTTTTTGCCCTCTAGAATTAGACATTACATGACCATTATTCATCCAAATATTGCAAAAAAGGAGGAGGAATTGGGTTCACATGTGTTTAAATTCCAAATATTCAAATCAACTATGCATTTATGAGCCATATGTTTATCTTCGAAAATTGGTGTCATAGCATGTTAGTATGGCTTATTTTATATGATATAGAGCTAATGAGATGATGCAAGGAAACGGCTAATATTGAGTAAACTTGGCGAGAAGGAATTAAGAAAATTCTTTACCCTAATGTTCACGATGTCATTGATCACAGTTTTCTGCTAATTTTTATGAGAGCTTTCACTATTAATATTTTGTTTAATGTCTTTTTAGTATTCCTAATTCTTGGAGCTTGTCTTGGCACATGCTCTTTTCAAGCCACCTATGATCTTCATGGACAATTTTAAAATGTAAATTTTCTGCACTAATTGCCCTTAGCAGAAACTTAGAAAGCAACCCCGTTGACTATTTGATTCAACTTTTTTTGGTACAATATTAATTCGAATAGCGTTAATTAGTAGCCATTCTTTAATCACCTCAAGCATAAATCCACAATTAATTAAAGTTGCAACTGCCATCATTATTTGCAAAATCTAACATTGATATTCAGTTATAAATATATATTCATGAGTTGTGTTTTGTAGTTTTTTTTAATTACAAGATAATAAAAATTTTCCTCCAAATATTTAAGTTGAATTTGAATTTGGGATTATAAGTTATTTTTTCTTTTTAACTTTAATTTTGTTAGCACTTTCAATCCATTTATTTTGTATAACACTGTTAATTACTAAGCAAGTTCTTAAATATTAAAAAGTAAAAATAATTTATCGTAAAAACAGATTAAAATCCCAGTAAAAAAAATGTAAATAGAAATTTAAACAATGATATATATTTTTTAATTTGGAACTAAAAGTTTTGAAAAATATTACAAACTCACAACTTATATCTTTTTTTTTTCTTAATTCCTTCTCTCTTGTTGATGGAAGGTTGGTTTGACCCGCATTTGCCCTTCAAAGGGTTTGCTTTACTTAGAGAATATGCTATGAGGTGTTTGTGATCAAATACTACTTTTGCTCTATCTCCTATATTCGTCTTCTAATATGAATGAACAACATTGCTCTTTCGCTTTCCTTCTTCAACTATCCATAATTTTCAAGCAGTTTTCAAATCCTATCACAAAACATTCCTTATTAAGCCAAATTTTAATGAATCACGTGCTTTTTATTTTATAAATTCAGCAATTTTTGGAATGGTGACGTTAACTTAATTCAAATACTAATTAATTTTAAGTTGTGGCTTAACTTATTTATTTATTTATTGTATAAAATAAATATACTTCATGCTTGAATAAGAAACATTTATAATATAATGAGCTTAGCTCACATATATATAAAAGACTTAAAACTAAAATTCTAACTTAAAAAAAGAGACTAATTATGTGTCAATTGAACCAAATCCCATTCATAATAACTCATCCCTTTGTGTTGCTAATTTTTTATATGATATGCATAACTGTTAAAATAACTCAATGCTTTCCTTTACCTTACCATCACTACGCCATAAATAAGCTTTTAGAGCGCTAACTTAAATAGCGGTTAATAAAAATTATTTTGTAATTATATATTTAGAGAGCGTTTCTCTATTAACCACTCTCCAAAGTACACATTAGAGAGTGGTTAATAAAGAACCGCTCTCTAATCTCATTCTTGGAGACTAGTTAATAAAGAACTGCTCTTTAATGTTATTAAAGTCATTTATAAATAAACATGCTCAACGCATTTCTTCTTTTTAGCTAACAAACTTGTCTCTTTCACTGTAAGTTTTTTCTTTACTCTCTTATATTTTCTTCATCTTCTCTGTTAGTATGCTCTCTTCGTCTTCTCTCATTAACAAATTAGTTTTTTTCCCATCTGTAGATACATTTTCATTATGTGTTAGTCTGCTCGATCTTTATCTTCTTTACACTAATTTTTGACATCTGTAGGTACTTCTTTCTTCTTCTCTTTGTTAACGGTGAATCATCCATTCTCTCTTTCTTTCTTTTTCTCTTTATTAATGTTAAAAATTATCTTATTAATTTGTTCTCTCTTTTTTCTCTGCTTACTTGTGTTTGGTTCATGCAGATGTGGACTGTTTGGTTAACACCAAATATATAAACTCAAGATTCAATTTTGATTTGTGATAAAAATGAAGAAAACTCACAAAGAAATCAATTCCAAATTTTGATTTAAACGTAATAATAAATTTTTATTTTGCAACAGAAAACTTAAAATAAAATCAATTTCAAATTTCAGATTCGCAGTCTACATTTATACTTTGGAGAGCAATTCCATGCAGAACCGCTCTATTTATAAGTTTAACATTAGATAGC